ATAATATAATGGACGAAGGCTTAAGCCGAGAAAGCCATCCCTTGACTAGACATCGTAAATGTGATAAAAGACAAGTGTGGCATCAGAAGCACAAGAAAAAAAAGAAAAAAAAAAGAGAGAAAGGCATTGTTAATACTGACGTCGACATATAGAGTTAATAATAGCCTTCATCTCAATCCTGCTGAGAGGGGGACCATCAAGATTGTACAGTGGGTCGGTGGAGGTTGGTACATCCTTTCCACCTTGGAGATGTGGTGAAAAGAGAGATTGTGAGAGTAAGAAAGGAGCAGCGGTGGCTCTACGAAAGTGTAGCTGATAGCCCTCTTAGGTACCGAGACGGTTAAGCACGGAATACTCCGCATAAAATCCCCAGAAATTATGAAAGCACAGCTCCAAGTTATCCGGAAGCACTGAGTCACTAACAATACCGAAGCTAGCGACCAGACCAATTGACCCTTGAAGAACCGAGGATTTAGATCAAGATATGGCCCGTATGGGAGCTACTAGATCCACCGAAAGTCTTCTCATTGGCAAAGATACGAGGAGTCGGAGGGTACGCCGCCCCATTTATTTATCGGATGCTACCCCGAGTTCAAGGATCCACACCCAGCTTAGACCATTGTTGTTGCTCTAATTTTCTCTAGATGCTACCTTCAGTCCGGTATCGGGGTCCATCGCGTCAAGAAGCAAGAATTTCCGACTCAATTCACATGAAATTAATTACTAATTAATAGTTGTAGCGATAAGTGAGCGCCATGTCCCCCAAGAACTGCTCTTGCTCCTCTGCGCCGCTGTTCTGGGCATCGACGGCGCCGTTCGCCATCGCCCGGTCGCGTCTTCGGTTATCGAACCAGAGCGCGGCGAAGTAAATGGCAGCCATTGCCGCCGAGAAACACAGGAAGGACAAGCTGATGATGTATCCGTTGCGGTAGAGCGGCGCATCCTTCTGGAGGAAAGAGTAGGTCGAAATGATTCCTCCGACTGCAATTGTGGTGAGTTAGTTAATTGGTCTCTAATAGGGGGAAATATAGCCCAGACTTACTGTTACCGAAGCCGATCTGCCAAGCTGTTCCCACACTCCGTCGCCGATGACCTCCTAAATTCATAGCAAACCAACACACCAAGACGGGCATTGCGCTGTAACATCCCATGGTGACAAGGAATAGGGCTCCGTACTGCACGTGCCGTTGCGACTCGCCGTGGATGTTGAGCAAAATTCCGTATCCAGCCATCGCAATGAGCATTGGAATGAATGCAAAGGCGAATCGATGGCGAAACTTGTCCGAAAGGAATGCGATAAGCATGGAAAATCCGAATGCCGCCGCCCATGGAGGGATAGAATAAAGCTGCGTCTTGATGGGTCCGTATCCGTAGGTCTTGATGATCGTCGGCGCAAAGTACGCGTAGCCTGTGAGGTCAGTGGTGGAACGAATACCATAAAGCGAAACGACGAGCGCATACCGTAGGCCGTGACAACCTGACCGAAGTACATCCATCCACCGATGAAGATTTTGTCTGGAGAGGCGAGAGTTAATGACGAAGACGAAGATTGGACGGTTTGCGACAAGCACTCACAGTCTTTGAACACGCTCAACACATCGCGCAAGGTTAAATCAGCATCTGGGGCGGCCTTGCCCGTGTCCGCAGCGAGCTTTTCGCGAACAAAATCGCGCTCTTCTTCAGTGAGCCACTTGGCGTCTTCAGGGAAATCCGTAACCAGGAAATAACAGATGATGGCAACCACGCAGGTCAGGACACCTTCGATAATGAACACCCAACGCCAGCCTCGATAGCCGCGCAAACCTTCCATTTTGCCGAGACCACTGGCAAGGAGACCACCAAAAGCACCTGCTAGGGTGGTGGAGCTGAAGAAGAAACTAAAGCGCTTCTGGGCTTCGCTGCGCTTGTACCACATGCCCATCAGATAGAAGCCTGCGCGGTTAGCTCGTCGCCGTAAAAACTGGGAAAGTCGAACATACAACCAGGAAATAAACCGGTCTCAAACATGCCCAAGAACCAGCGAGTAGTCATAAGTCCTCCCCAGTTTTGCACCAGACCTTGGCAGATCATGACCAAGCCGAAACCAAACATACATAATGACACTGTAGCGACCGTCAACATTCGTCCGATTCATGGATGGTTTCAAGGATATCATACACCAAAGATGAGGCTTCAGCTTCTTCATTAAAATATTCGACGGGATTTCGAAGATAATGTAGGGAACAAAAAAGATCGTCAACGCGGTGTTGTATTTCGTGCCCGTCTCAATATTCAGGTCTTCCTGCAAGCCCAGAATCGCCGCGTTACTGATGTTCACTCTGTCGGCACCTTCGGTTAGTATCGGTGCAGAAGTAGGAGTCGCATTCCAACTGACCGGTCCAAGAATGCCAGCAAATACATGAGACACAAACAGGGTACGACGTGCCAGTCGATTTTCGCCATCAACTTGCGCTCGTTAATCGGAGATCGAGGGGCCTCTGGCGACAGCTCGCCATCGGAGCTCTTCTCTGGCTCTGCGACATATTAGGAACATACGTAGGGTCGCGAATGTGTAGGTCACAGACCTAAGAAACCCATGGTGATGGAATGGGCTGCTCCGAGGAGTCAGGAGCAAAGAGTCAGGGAGAACGCTGCGCTTTTTGTTTTTCTTTTTAGGAGAAAGAACAAGGACAGGGGGACTTGTCAGATTTTAAATCCCATTGTAGTTTAAATCGGGCCGAGGAGCAATCAGCTTAACAAATCCGCTTTGCAGAGAGGCCCGATAATGAGTCCTGAGTGGAGGCCGGCGTCGGCGGCCAACTGAATTGATGCAGATCCATGACTCATGGGGTAAGAATCGTCCTCAATTATCGCCAAATATGCCGATCCCGGGGTAATCCTGTAATTCAGGCATGCACAGTTGTCCAATCTCACTTTGTGAAGCGAAGATTGTCATAAAATTCAAGAGTGTTGGCCCTCGCTAGTGTGGCTAAGCATCGCCAAGTGAACTTTTCCTACAGTGTAAAACACTATTTTGCAGGCACACACACACATATAAATATGAATCCCAACATATTTATGCTATTTTATACTATTTTAATTAACTAGTCATGACATATGATCAAATATAAGAAATGTTCAATAAGCATTATTCGTCCACGTGAAGTATCACCATCCAATCCACCGTTCCCGAAGGCTATCCTTGCTGCTTGCCCAAATAACGGTAACACACCCCTTGCTGGATATCCCCCCCTTGCAGTCTCACGTTTTCAGTTCATGCTGACAGCCTTGGCGTCCATGGGCTGGAAGTCCTCGTTATTCGGTAAATTTCGTTCATAGTGGATGTTGCCTCGTTACACATAAAGTGCGACCGTGTTACGTGGTCACAACCGTCACTCTTAACTTATTCTTGAGCGACAGCAGCTTCGGAGTAGCTTCCGTAGGAGCCATACTCGCCGTAGTTACCGTAGCTTCCATAGTCCACGGGGGTAGTGGTAGGGGTCGAAGATGAGGTAGTAGTCTTGCTCTCCTCAGGCCCGGGGACCTCGTCCCTCTTGTACGACCCGTAAGAGCCGTAGCCACCGTAGTTCCCGTAGTCACCATAGTTTCCATAGCTGATAGGCGTCTCAGTAGGTGTGGAGGTAGTAGTAGAATCGGTCGTGGAGCTGCTGTCGTCTCTCTTCTCGAAGTTGTACGCTCCGTAGGAGCCATACTGTCCATAGTTGCCGTAGTTGCCATAGTTGATCGGAGTAGGGGTAGGGGTTTCAGTAGGTGTGGTCGTGGTGGAAGGCTCAGGATCTTCGCCCTCCCCCTCAGGGACATCATCTCTCTTGTATGAGCCGTAGGAAGCGTAGTTGCCGTACTTGCCATAGTCTCCATAGTTGCCATATTGAGCAACCCCGGCAGGAGGCGTGGGCTGACTGACCTCAGAGGATGAGGCACTCGAGACTGGAGCAGCGCTCACAGCCAAGAGCTGAGTGCTCAGAGCGAGCAGGAGGGACTTGCTAGTAAAGAGCATCTTGAAGAGTATTGAACTTTGGACGATCGCGGAAGATGTCTGGTTCAGAGAGTTAATGAAGAGAAGCTGATCAACGAGGGAGGAGGCATATACTTATACATGATCTCCGAGACCCGGATAAACCGTTATCGAAAGGCTTCTAAAAATATAGACTCAAGTCGGTGACTCCATCTCGTAAATTGCCTCAGCACTGCCATTGGGCATGTCTCTGAGGCGGATGAACCACCAGGACACGAGCTACTCAACCCGTTCTTCGTACCAATAACAACAGTTCCGGATGATACATTGTGGCTAGACGATGCAGTGCTACCTTCTTGACCCGCAGAAAATCCCACCTTACCCAAGTCCCCAGCCAGCAAGTACCCTGCAGCCGAGGGGTGGTCGCCACAAAGAACCGGATATGCCCGTAAAAAGACCCAACCGGGCAGAGAAGCGTGATAGGAAGGGGAGTAAATTTGCAGTAGAGTACTAATTTTGGAGACAATCTGCCTTACATCATTGTCTCATGGACCGCAGTCTCGATTGTGGAGTTGATGGGTCTCCAAGCTTCTCCGCAGGCCAAGAGCCACTCGTATTGATCGACTCTAATCGTCATCTGCAGCCTAGATGAACCACTGAGACATACATGCATTTAGGCGTGCTGTTGTCTTACCATAGTACCCAGCACCAAGTTGTTGTTGCCTCGGAGGTCTCTTTGGAAATGGTGGGCCTTGTCTTACATACTATTTTTAATGCCCTCGGTTGCATAATGGCTTCTCGATTTCCATAACCTACCACCCATTTCCTGTGGGGCGCCGTATATGAGTTGGCCTCCGTCAACGCCATAATTAAACAGCTGTTTTGGAATTTCCTGCCACCCTGCGTACACCGACTTTAAATCATCCTTGATTCTTCATTGTCTCCCTCCCTCTTGCGGTTGAGCAGTCTGTTCTTCACGAAACCCAAGGCAAAATGCGCCATTCAGTATCAGATCCTGACGTGGACGAGAAGCTTCTCTCCGATGAGGAGGCTACTTGGCCTCGGGAACAGAAGCAAAATCAGAGTCTATTCAAGAAATGTGCCAAATATTTTCTGTTTGTTGCCGTCGCCGTATTCTCCTGCTTAGTAGGTGTTGTACTTGGACGTCAGCAGCACAATCTGGATAAGGTCTGCACTCGACAACTCACACAATACTGTAAGTTCCTAACCCCATAACGAATAAATTAGAGGAGAAAGAATGAGGACGTATATCTAACAAAAGTACAGCCCCCGTGATCCCAGAGGTCGGGATCGAATACCACCAAGAACAGTTTAATGGCTCGTTCCTGAAAGAAAATATTTATCGTCAAGAAGCAAGCCCAGAAGTAGATGCTGCATGGGAAGCTCTTGGTGTCAACTGTACGTTCTACAGCCGTTTATGCAGCATGAGATCCAGCTAACAGCCCTGCAGACAGAAGTCTTCGAGTCCCTGCAGAAGAGGCTCAAAAGTCGGGCCTTGCTCCTGATCAGGTGAAGATCAACGAAAAGTATGGTGGAGGGTATCCTGCAAACATTGAGGGATTGCATCATCTGCACTGTCTAGTATGTTCATATTATCCCCGATCGACACCAATTATAAATAAAGCTGTCGTATTAACAAACCAACAGAACCTCCTCAGACAGTCCCTGTACTACAACTACGACTACTATCATGAACAAGGCCAAGGTGCCTTTGTGAACGATGATTATATTGTCCGACGCCATGTGTGTACGTATTGACCGTTCCCGGGATATGCTCACTTTTCATATACTAATCATGAACACAGCCCATTGTCTGGACATCATACGACAGCAGCTCATGTGCAGCGTTGACATCGGCGTCCTTGGCCAAGTTTGGGTTCACCCAGAGAACCCGGAGCCATTTGTCGATTTCAATACGCAGCATAAATGCCGGAACTTTGAAGCTATTCGGCAATGGGCAGAACGCAATCAGCTTCCTGAAACTGTGCCCCAGGACTTTTTGCAACCGCCCAGGATCGAGGACAGAGTGTATAATGAGATTCCATGATGATGTTGTATTAGTGATGATGTACATATAGTTGTTTATATGCCCTAATGAAAGTGATGAACTGATGCCAATGAACTAGCCTCTGCTTTTGTGTTGGCAAGGACGACTTCTGTTAGAAACACCTGTCCTTGGGTAGCTTAAACAGTAATTATAAATCGAATAACAGTACAGGATTCAGTGATACTGTTTAAGGCATTGACCTAGGTATAAAGTACACAAGAATAGGTTGTATTATATTGGCACATAATCAACAGCAACTCGATGAATATACAAACATATAAGTCCACCAAATAATGACCAATACTCAACATGGGCTCATTCTCTCACACCCAGAAGGGTACGTATTCCCACTCGAAGATACTACACAAACAATTCTATGATACCTTCTCCACTCAATCCTGAACATACCCGCAAGAAATGTATCCGCCTTAATTCCACAATGCTGAGTTGGACTTGCTTGGTGTGGTTCATGGGTGGCGATAACATAGGCCGGTGGGACTTCAAGGAACATTGCTGGGCTCGCCAGGAGTGATACCCTCATCATTAGCTTTCTCGGCGGTATCAGTTGGAGTGCCAATCCGGTGGGCAAGAGTAAGAGTAGGCTTAGGGCCCATTGAATTAGGTTCATCGGCTGTTCCGGCTTCATGGGGAGCAGCGAGAGAAGGGCTAGGGACACTTTCTTCCGCATTAACTGGTGAGAAGCAGTTGAAGTAGTGTTAGAATCACAATCCAGCTGAGCAATCGGAACGTGAACACTACCAATCGCAGGATGGCAGGATAAACCCTTCGTGCTGCCCTTAGTGTCAGAGTCAGAGGTACTTGTTTCGCTACTCAAACTGGCGCTCTGTGTGCTCGTGGTGGAGGGCGTGTTCGTTTCGGTAAGGTGTGCATTGACATCGACAAGATCCCTAAATCGATTTGTCGGGGGCGCACCTATCATGCTTGTATCAGACGGATCTAGATCATTCGGATTCGCCAAAGTTGCCGGTCCACCCGTGAATACCATCTCAACAGCAAGGCCGCCGAGGCAATTCTCGTTGGCAATATCGGCTTTTTGCTTCAAACTTTTGGCACTCTCGAACGTGAACCTAGTCTATATCAGTATCTTTTGTTACTCAAAACCTTGAAGAGGATTGGTACATACATTGTATCATTATAGACAAACCAACTATAAGCAGTGGATGTGTTATAGCGCTCTTCTGGTTCGACTAGATACCAGGGTGGTAGCATACGCTCAACATCATAAGCGGATAGTCGATAATTGGTATATGTATCACACTTTCCACGCGACGCGCGCATTGTCATCGGGCATCCGGGAGTATTGCACTTCGGATCTTGAAGTTTCCATTCTCGACCTCCCAAATCCAAAATGGGTGAAAGTTTCTTAGGATTAATATTGGCTTCCCGGAATAGTCTGACGCTACGGCCGATATCTGGTAGAAGTTAGCATTTGAAAAATGAAAGCCAAGAAAGTCAAAACACACTCAAGCTGTCTCCATGTTCAGGCCATCTCTCCTCTTCCTTGCACACGGCATCTCCGGGCCGATCCGATGAAATGAAGCTGAGATGTTCAAGATGCTCAGCCATTCCCGCCAGGTCGATATGCCTGAGACCGCCTATGTTCTTGCGATTAGATTGTCTTGTTTTCCAAATAAGTCTGATGGGGAATACTACATTCTGTGGCCCGAAATTCAGCTGAAAGATCATATTTGTCGCCAAATGACTCGCGAAGTTCCTTCAGGAAAGTGACGGAGTTCTGAGGCTCACCTGTCTCAGGTGCAATTAGTAGCAATTTCAGGACAGGCCACTGACACATTATCGTGAATTACCTTGCCATAGGTCCCGCCATATGTAGCGAAAATTGAGACCGTCGAACTTGAAATCGTCCAGAAATTTAACAATGGAGTCAATGACCTCCGTCCGGTTCTCAACAGAGCGAACCATGTCTGATAACGAAGGGTTTGGTTTACCCGAATCAATTGCATACGGTGTAATGGATACATAGATTTTGAGGGATGGCTTTTTGATCTTCAGATTGACAAGATCTCTCCAGCGCCTGCGATCAATGCCGTCAAAGGGTGCAGCAATAGCATCTCGGGTATATCCAATATGAATATTCTCAAGGTATATATGCTATTGAATATTAGTTTGGCTCTAGTCACTGAGAGATTTAACAAGTAGAGGATGGTGGTCCAAGCCTACGGTGAACGGTTCAACGTTGATATCCGATGGCTCAAATGTATCACAGCTCTGATCTTCAAAATGCCGCGTAACATAATATCCAACATAACGTTGCTTACTCGAAGCCCCAGAACATTTTCTATGAAGTCTGTGATGAGTGTATGATCAGACCTTTGTCACTGGACAGATTACATACTGTGGTTCCAATGATTTGGTATCGCCCTCGACTTTCGGTGGTTCACAACTTGGTGTAGAGTCTTTGTAACATATTAGTGAGTATTCAGTAAATGTAAAGCAAAGGTGGAAGTGCTACTTACTGTCGCACTCTGTTCCAGAAACAGACTGGGACAATACCTGCAGGGCAAGAAATGCGAACAAAAGACTCAGAAGGTGCCACTTAGGGCCTTGGAAGAAGGCCATCTTGACAGACTAGGACTTGGGGAATCTAGTGGAGGTCGAGAAGGGTTGGGGGAAACAGTAGGTCTTATACTAAGTTTTCAATTCACTTTCTCCACTGTTAGGGGACGGGCAAACACTTCAATAAGGCTAGTGTTTGGGCTGCATGTATGCTCAAGGTTCCTCGCTTACTCCAATCTAATCTTAGTATTCTGTATTCATACCTTTACTTGTAATGCTCTGGTTCTCTGCCATTCTAGCTGGTTGCTCTTTTGGTGTATATGCGAAATGACAGACGGTTCAGTATACCGTTTCGTTATCATACTTATGGCATGATATAGCTATTAGGTGAAAGTACAGGCATAGCCAGCACAAGGTTATCACTTCATTCCATCCCATGCGCCTCCGTAGCGTCCAGGAGCCATCGTAGGATTACCATAGCGTTTTCAGGGCAGAAAACTTTATCTGGCGGGGCGCTCACAAAGCGGATCTGTTCTAATATTACGACGAGGGTTTCGAATACCATATCGCTTTAAGATTTATGCTTCTCTTTGTCTTGGCAGGTACCCGGCACTTGGCGAGCTGACTTACCAGGGTTCTTTGGACGTGCAGAATCATACAACCTCCATGACGATTTGGATGGCTATTCGGCATAGATGCCGACTGAATGTCAGCCTTCCAACCAATGCATCTGACAAGGCTTACTATAAGGTTCATGAGCTATATGCGTACAACTAACTCAAGATATTAAATGGACAGACACTTCATCAGAATTAAGTTGGGATGGCTGATCGGGCGCTTGTCCTGGACAAAGAGCAATCGATGGGTCCTTTTTTACCCTAGTGGAGCAGAGCACAAAGGGTATCGAGGCTACTTGGTGTCCCAATTCTCATATGAATATGTTGATCACAATTCGACTTTCTAGTCTTAAAATAGGTTACACCTTTGAAAAAGATCTTGCCAATTCCCTCTATGATATTATGTTAAGCGCGAAGCCGAGCAACATCTTCACGATCATGGGAAACTCTTACGCCGTTCCTTGCAAAAGCGAATATAGAAACTAAATTGATTGGTCACCTTCCCCTTAGGCCAAATTAATCTAACCATTATTTTGGGGCGCCCATTCTGAAGTAATTAAACATCTAGGTTCTCAGTAGAACTTCACACACGCTAGGATTTATTGTACGGTGTACAGACTAACAGTTATCATTCTGCGTACAGGATCAGCACAAAGAGCCTACTATGGATCGAATATCTTGTCTAAAAATTCCTAGTTATCAATTTCGTGTTCTTGATTCGCAGCGCCTTCTGGGCGACTCTCCACCGCCTGACTAATATTAAAATCTATGGTAGTGGTGGTTAAGGCGCATCCCAGTCTATATGCAGCATGGGTCCACGTTAATATCTGGGGAGCAGTTCGTCTCAAAACTTGCACCATTGGCTGATAATAACCCCAGGAAAGAGCCAGGCAATGATAATAGATTGAGGAAGTCAGCTCCCACAAATCGACTGAGCACATCCGCCACGGACCTGCAGATTAATGTCTCATTATCATAGATTTATCATGACAGGGGATCTAGGCGAAATATCATTTCTCTCCTGTCACTTGACTTCGCAGGAAATGGTTGAGCAATTTGCGGGGAAAGTTTTGAGCTGAAAGGCAAGTGGAAGCTGATGTTACGGGGCGTTGGCTTTTCAGGGTATAGATGTAATACCTTAGCTATAAGTCCGTGGGCTGGTTAGTTGATGTTGTTATGCCAATCACCGTCCTTACAACTCACCTATTGAGCCTTGAGAGCATTAGCCGATCTACATCATCGTTGCATTTGCCGACATAACTAACAGTTTATTACTTGGATCTGTCCTTGAATCAGTGTAATTGAGGCAACGGAGCGTGTCAGGACCCTAGGGCTGCTTGCTATAACTTCGCTACAAAAGATACTCCAGATTCTACTGAAGAGAAGAAGCCGGTTCAACATGGTGGAGGTAGTTTTCTCTTCCACTTACCTGATATTTATGGTAAACCATTAGCTGCTGGCACTCGGGCAATTGCCCAGGAACAACTCAATATTTAAGGTATGTTTGCCACTAAATTTGAGCTAATTAGGGTCCCCATTACCAATCAGCAGATACACAAGACTATGGTAAGCCAAGATGTCTCCTGTCGCTATCATCAAAATCAAGAGTCGTCTTCACCTCCGTGGGAATGATTGCATCTGCCGTTCACACATAGTGCTCGAGGGTAACATTCTCGGTCACTCGTGCATTTGCGAGGCCCAAGCATGTCGCGTTCTTCTGTAACTTCGTTGCCTACTCCAACGCTCTCTGTGCCATCTTGGGACATCGCATTAGACACGTATTGGCACCAACCATGGATGCAGAGTCCGGTTGGCCCGCAATGCACATGAAGATGGCATCTCTGTCGAGTCTTCAGATTATCTGAATTTTCAATGTCTATACCACGAGCCGCTAGCTTTGTGGATTGATCAAATGGCCAGCAGAATCCGTCCATGCACCATTTGCCCCGTGGGCAATCGGTCACATGCTTGCATCGCTGCGCATCTGCCAAGGGCGAGTCTACTTTAGATGCGGTTAATCTTCATTCTTCTGGATAACCAGACATTGGGCGGTACTGACCATCGTTGTCTCTATGGAGAAGTGGCTTGGAAGCGGGACGGGGGATCTGGACGCAGCCTCCACGCCAGCAATAGTACCCTGGAGGACAGTCGACACCGGTTCTACACTTGCCAACTGCAGTGCAGGTGATGGTGTTAGTTTCTGATTCACCCTTCCCTCGGAGAATGGGATAAATAGAACGCAGTACTTCCCTTGGAGATTGTCTCGGACAACTCTTTTGAAACTATCGCGTGGGGTTCTGATGCAGTGTCCCAAATGGCAATGAAAGTTGATAGAGCAGTCCGCGTTGCTGAAACAGATACGTTCGTCTGTTCGGAGATTATCTTTAGTCCTTGCGGTGTTTTATCCTCAGTAGTTTCATGGATTCACACACCGTCTTCGTTAGTGTCTCCTGTCAACCAGTTTGACGCTGGCTCACAGGGGTCTTGGTTGTCGAGGTCTCGGCAGGGTTGGCTAATGGAGGAAGCTGTGCTCGTGTGAGAAGGGCGCTCAGTCATAACAAAGAGGCTTCTGATGGTGCAGAGGAACTTGGGCAGCTGCTTACCGCCATCATCTTGAACGTTAAGGACGGGGTTGAGTGAAGCAACTAGGTTGCAGAGAAAGAAGAGAGATATTATGTAGAGCATCATGGTGGACGTGGTGATTCTCTGATCGGAAGACACTCTGTGGGTTGAAAGGAGGTCAGTCCAAAGAAAAAAGTCTCAATGAAACCATGCCATGACCGTATTATATATCTAAGCCAAAAGCTGCGAATTAAGTGAATATACCAAACTCTCTCAACTAATCCACCAAATTCAACAAAATGAACATCCCGGAAAGCAGGCCTGGTGATATGCTTGATTCACATTACGTCTATGACTGGGTAGTCATATTACCTACTTAGTCTTATTAAGATAAAAATCTGTGCCAAGCTGATATTACTACCTTCACTATGGAGAATTGTTTATTCACTTCGAGCATCATTGCACCGTAGGGATTCTCATTCCATCCTTAGTTTTGTGGCAATCACAGGTTACGTCCATGTATTACTGGCTCAACGACTGCTAAAGCTCAATGCCTGGCTTCCTCATACTATATCTAGCATAATAAGTTAGTTAGGGACAGGGTCTGGTCTATTGGCGAAGTTCAAGTATGCGGCTCCCTACAGCCTCAGGACATGGACAGCCTGTAGATCGCATGCCACACAGTACGAATCAAGCTCAATCTTGTAGCTTGGGAAATGTCCTGTTGGACAAATATAACTGTATCATTGGACTCAACTTGTTAACACTGCCTACTTAGGCCTAGCGCTGTTGTTCTTCCTAAGCGATTTCTTCCCACAGTCATGTTGATAGAACCAAGACCGAACACGATAGATCCTCATTGTTGACTATGTCTGTTAGCTGGGTGCCACTAAGTAGTACCAGTTAGATTTCTACTGATATCGGATATCGGAGTGCCAACTTCCGATTCGATCTTATAAGCAGCTGCGATCTCCTTCTTATCGCTCAGATCACATTTGTGGCACCAGATATGGTTGTTCTTCATATGCTAACAGCAGCATAGATCCGATAAAGATGGTATTTTAGACTGAAGGCTGGACTATCGGGCTTGGAGGTCAATGGAAATATATCTAACACGACAACGCGGGAACCCAGGACAATCAGACACTGACTTCTGCCCTAATCCTACTGCTTCCTCTAGTCACGATAACCAGCTCTTTCTCCCAGTCCCATATATCATCTACAACCCAGTTAATTTGACTTTGATACTTAACCAATCGTTGAACCATAGAACATGGCTGCTGCGGTGATTTGGACGAGCTTCTTATATACCGTGAGGGAGCTGAAGATTCCCACCAAGTATAGACTCGATAATGTGAAGAGCGTATGGAGGAACTATTTACATAGGGCACGTTATTATCGGATCGATTTAGAGGCCCTCGCGGGGAAGAAAGCCCCGTTTGATGGTTGTTGTCGTCATGTTTACTGGGACGGAGAAGCCCTAAGGCTTGTTACTTGGCTGCCTTCTTTTATGCGAGCTACAATGCACAAGAATGTGAATTTTTCGGCGTCGGCGATAAGTTCCGACAAGGTCAAGTGGGTTATTTTCTCTGTTTTCTTTTGCAAATTTCCTGAGGAAAAGCTGGCTTGGGACTGTTCCGGGTCCAGCCCGGAAGGGACCCGGCTGGATATATACTCGCACTTTGGGATGACACGGAACCCAACCGCGCTGAAAGCTGGAAGCTTCCGAGTGGTTATACAATTAAGGGGCAAGCTATGCTAGATATAGTATAAGATATGTCTTCTTTGCCAGCTCTACAGGTGCATGAATTATTGCTGCATTCCGTGGCTGTGGACTTGCTTACTGTCTCTTCTTGCCTATTGATCTAGCGGAATCCTACGACCAGAAATTGGCGAAGATGACTGCTTCCTTAAGTGATACAAGTATCCGCAATCTAAGTGGCACCTGGGTGATGGTAAATCTGTCGCACAACGCCATACAAAACAACACCAAGCTGATCCCAGGCATCGAAAATAGGACAAGAGCCTTTCAACCCACCTTGCTACGGTTTTCCAACTAGTAAGCCATCTAATGACTGGAGTGCTATCTTGAAAACTAAGGGAAGCTATGTAGCAAGGGGTGGGCTGGGTAACAAGGAAGGCAGTAGCCGCATCATCCGCTACTCTGAGGATCAGCCGGGAGTCGGAAACAGAGAGCAATGGCTTAAGCACAGAACCGGCTGAATGGATGGTGCTCGAGCCTGCCCTGACAGGCGGACTAAAAGGCGTGCCGGAGAAGCGCTCTTTGGCCTGGACTGAGGTTGAGCACAACGACATTCTCTTCGGTCGTGTCATCATCCTTAGTCACTATATTGACGGGGAGAAGATTTCGGGTGGGCGAGTCTAACCACTTGTGGGGCTTCAGTCCAAGAATATCGGAGCAAAAGCCACTAGTATGTTGACCGAGGCGGTCAGCATGGCACAGGAAGTTGAAGCTGGAGCGGAGACCGTGGAGAAAGCATTTATGCACGACTTTGTCCATAGCGTAGACGGAGTGTGGACGGCTGAACTGGTACGTATAGCTGGTCACTTTTCACGAACGCAATACTTACTAACTAGACAACTAGATTTGGGCAGTGGAAGTAATAAACGGGGAGAAACTGCTGACTCGCAAGGTCGTGGTCTTGAAGGGCTCTTCTATTGAAACTGCCCGCGTTTTCTATAGGCTTAAGTGATGGCTAAGAGACACTCTTACGATTATACCGAACTGTATCTGTATATAGAATAAACTTGTTGATCAAGAAGCCTGTTGCAAAGATAATTACTTCTACCAAGATAAAGTCTTTATCTATCTCACTGCTCTCTACATTTATCCTTTTAGCTTTTATATTAGTTAGAAGGATTTTACCGCTGTGAAGCGACTTAAAGTAGCCAGGACAATAGTTTACCTCTGGGTTGTGAAGCCAGCTATAGTTTCTCTAATTGATGTCCAATAGAAATCAGATATGGAGATGTACCTTGTATTCTGTATCAAAATCAAGGATTAGGAGGCTGTGGTATTTCTCTGTCCCTCGGGGCCCAGTGGGGAACCCGATCAAACTCTACTTCTATTCCAAAAGATAATTTTATAAACAAAAGGTATAGATGGTTACTATTTTTTTTCTTAATATACTCTCTAATCTATTTATATAATAGTATAAGTTTTATCCTTGACTGTTGCTCCCAGGGCCATGGCTGATAGCCCTGCACCAACACGGGCTATCTGGCTGTAGGGCGGAAGATCAGTAGATTTGGAAGGCATGATACGCAAGGTAGATAGATACAATAAGAAGCAGAATGCGCTCAGATATGCCCGTTTAGGATTCACGTAGGCTTACGTACATAATACTGTCAACAGCAAGGCGTTCTACATGTGAATCGATCAGACAGGACCGGAGCACTCCCGATTTCTGCGCCAGCACGGGCAAACGTCTCATGTGAATGAATATGCCCGGAGCAAACTATGACATGTGCAAAACAACCTTCCAAGCGATTCCCACAGAGGCGAGGCTCGTGAATCACACTGAGAGGGCATGCAGATTGCGAGGGATATCTAGTGACCAAGTGGCTGACATGCTAGAGCTTCCACCCTCAGTCATTCGGGTCGGTTCCGGTTCTCAGGACTCGCTTCCGGCAAATGAGACCAACCGCGGTTTTGCCCACCAGAACAGCTCCGTCTACTTTTGTTTAAAAGTAACGATGCGTTCTTCAAGAGTTACGATGCCACAGGCATTCTGAAGAAATCAAAGCCCCGAATCACACTCTTCCCAGACACCAAAGAACCATGGATCTACACGCCCAACTGCAGGCCGCCTGGGACCATGTTAGAACAACATACAAACCAGGCACAATCGAACTGACGGGGGTGATCGTAACTCAAATCGTCGGATTTATCATCCCAGCAACATTCTACATGCTGATTGATGTCCTCTTTCCGAGGTTCTCCCAGCGCCACAAGATTCAGGACAACCACCGACAACCGACCCGCCAGCAAATCCTGCACTGCGTTAAGGTCACGATGTTTAACCACGTCTGGGTGGTGGCCCTGTACACACTACTCGTTTATTTTGCCGGTTTGGACTATGCCTTTTTGAACCAAGATCCGATCATTCCTCCTTGGAAAACGTTTGTCGTGGACTTTATCTTCGGCCTTCTAGCGCGAGAAATATCATTCTACTATGTCCACCGCGTTCTGCATCACCCCAGCATTTACGCATATATCCATAAGATGCACCATAAATATACGGCACCCGTGGCGTTCGCAGCGGAGTACGCCCATCCTGTTGAACATCTTCTCGCAAATATCCTGCCGCTTACGCTCCCTCTATATCTCAAAGGCGCACACTTTTTGTCCATCATTTTCTTTTTTGTCTTTGAGCTCTGGGAGGCTGCAGCTGACCACAGCGGATATGACTTCTTGAAACTGCCACCTGCTGAACTACATGACTTGCATCATGAGAAATTTCGCGTCAATTATGGGACTATTGGGTTGATGGACTGGATTCATGGGACTGATGTTGTAGGGTGAGATAGGCCTAAGGCGAGGAAGGTGAGGATTGCTGAAGATTGAATGCTAGATGTAACAGTCTTGATCGTTACTCGGCCTGAAGCCGATTGGGAATGTTATATGCCAACTCTATTTTCTGGACTGGGATATTGTAAGTTTGGGTTGACTTCATGAATCATGTCATTCTCCCGGAGGATCAGGTATGTATGAATGAAGAACATTACATAGATTAGATATCAAACTAGAATTTTTTTTTAAAAAAAGAAAGGCGGGCGAAAAGAAATCTCATTAGTCCGTACGGGATAGCTCACGAAAAATATCCTCCAGTCTTAACCCAGAGAGTATCAGGGAAGTCAAGCCTCGTCAAGAACCCGAAATCGTCTAGCCCCTGTCCCATATTCGCCGCATATTCCTCCCAATTGAAAAAGGGGTTTTGCATTAGGTCGTGATGTGGGCGATAGAAAGGATCCTGATCCCGAGCCACATCACTTGAGAACAGCGGAGCTCCACCTGCAGCCTCGGTCCCTGTCTGTTACAGACCATCATTAACTGCATGGAGATACGCAACCTGGAGAAATTGGAGCATGTTGCGAGCAGACTGGCGAAATGTAGCTATGGATTCTAGTATACTTGTCGCTTCTCTCCAGTCTTCTCGCACATTTTCCAAGGTAAGACGATCCAGCCTTGATAGAGCGGAGAAGGGCATGAGGAGCACTACCACGGCAGTTGAGACGTCTAGATTAGGTATCAGTATAGAGAGATATCAGAGAAATGGAGTTGATCAACGACATACAAAACACATTGTACCAGCTGACGGAAGGTCCGAAAATACCTTGTTTAGGGTTGGAATGCCTAATTCATCATTATCGTCAATGCAGGAATTCATGTTCTTCAGACTTACTCTCCCCTGCTGTAGGACCGGGCTTTACCTATCCGAGTGGTAGACGCACCGGTCGACCCGATACAACCGCCTCGTGCATGGCCGACAGATAGGCTTCTTCCCGTCACACCGGATCTTTTTCTGCCTGCACAAGTCGCACTCAAGGGCAACCTTCTGTCGTGCAGTAGTTCGTCGCTTCGATTAACCGGCAGCTTTGGGAGGCTATCCTGTAAAACGGGCGCTATCCGGTGCTCTGAAGACTGTTTGAACAGGCTTATAGCTACACCGTAGAACATCTCATCGTCTATGAAAGGGGATAAGCCTCAAATCGCAATCCCTTGCTGGTCCAGGTGGCGTTGGCGGATGGGAACAGGATGTTCTTTGGACGGGTCTGTTCCGGTCCAACGCCAACGCCCAGTTTTTGCTTCTCTTACGGGCTGTGGGGGTAGGAAAAAGACACGCAACGCAATAACCTTGGAAAAATAAACCTTTCTATTTACTTTCCTATTTCAGATCCTGCCACACGCAGTATTCAGATTCCCAGGGGCTAAAGCAGTTGGGGGTGAATATTGACAATGCGAAGACTTTGGATGAGTGTGTTGAAGAGCTGGGAGAAAGAACGAAAGACCGAAGGGAAGATCTCGGACGGGCATATGAAAATGCTAGAGAACCATTTGGAGGAAAAGCTAGGGAATGCTCCTTCCTAAGCCTCCAATCAGTTGATCTATGAATGCTTGCTGCATTTGGCTTCCTGAATCACTTATTGCTATTATTACTCTAATAGGATTGTTATTCAGAATTAAATAAACTACATCTTGGGGTGGGCGCAGGGAACAAATCTACTATTCTATTCGAGATTCAAAGAGAACAAGAACAAAAGTTCCAGCTATGGCCTTCCCGGTTGATTTACTCAACATACTGCTTCCTGTGAAAGAAATAAAGTGGCACTGCCCCTGCGATGGTAGCCACCCCCAGTACAAACATCACCAGATATGCCTGTAAATATCCCTGGCTCTGCACCCACTCCACCGCCTCATATAGGAACAAAAAGGCTACTAGGTTTTTCACCACGTTAACCAGCACCAAGCACTGCGCCGCATCCCTTTGATGCCGGTGCGCCAAGTAGGTGATGGCAATGTTGGGAGTGTAAACCGATCCGAACGAGACCATTCCGAATCCCACGGCGATAGCTGCCCAGTGTAGGTGGTTCTGGCAGCAAAAGGCCAGGAGCACGCATCCTGCGGGTCCAATGGCCATGCCCGGAATCAGAGAGAGCAGTCGATCCTCGGCGCGAGCCTGCCCGTAGCCCCGCCGGCGCACAATATGATCGTTGATGAGGTCGGAGAGCATGCCGCCGCCGTAGCAGGCTAGGAGAAAGCCGATAAGCGCGGCGACCTCCATTAGGCCGACGGCGACGGAGGAGAAGAGGTAGGGGGGCGCTTCAAGGAGGGAGGACATAGTGAAGCTACCACCATATTAGTCAACATCAGATGGCAAACAGAACGAGGGAAGGGGATTCATACATAAAGATAATCTGCGGGCTGAGGGCACATCCATAGAGGAGCACTACCCAAATCACGGCTGGCCGGATCAGTCCATGCAGGGGCGCTACCATGGCTCGAAAGAAGTTGAGATTGCGGTCGACGCGGATTGGCACGATCATCTCCGTAAGGGAGGGCTGGCGCACAGTATACCCCGCCTCTGGGATCACATTTTCGAAGAATATCTCTCCAGAGCCATTTGTCTTTTCCGCCTCCGTCGTGTCGAGTCCGTTAGGACTGGTCGCATCCCACTCCGGACGCTGGAAGTTAGACTCGGGACACAGGAAGAATATCAAGACGATATCGGCCGCCGCTAGCGCAACGCACAACCACATGAAGGCCCGCCAGGTGCTCGGTAGATATTGTACCATCAGACTATTCACTAGCGGGCCGATGGCGGTGCCGCCTGAGATCAGAATCACATATCTAGGAGTGGACCGTCAGCGACCTCTCTTTTGGTCCCCCGGGATCCCAGGGGGGAGTTGCTTACATGGACATCATCGAGGCCCGCTGGTGCAGGAAGAAGATATCCGCGGCAAGTTCAGGCACGATACTCTCGCCTGCGGCGCCTACGAACCCCTGCACACATCGCGCCGCTAGCAGACCGGAGAAGCTGGTGGCAGTCGCACACCATACCAGGGCGCCAGCCTGGAGAGTCATGGAGAGAAGCAGAGAAGCGCGTTTGCCGAATTTGCTGGCGAGAGGCACCCAGAAGATGTTGCCGATGCTCAGAAACAGAAAGTTATACTGGTAAGGGTGGCCGACTATTAGCAACAGGCTAAAAGACACTCCGGAAGGAAACTAACAGTGAGCAGCTGCACAGCAGCAGACTCAGACTTGCGATACTCCTGCATCAAGTAGGGGACAGCGACCGACAAGCCTGATCCGGCCATGTTGGTTACAAAGTTTGTTAGGGAGGCCGTTATGATAGTACAGCGCTTCAGCCAGACGGGCCAGCGCAGCGGGTCGCGGTCATCTTGGGTCGGGGTGGGGAGGAGAGGTTGCATACTGACGTGGGAAAAGAAGGGTGAAGGTACTTTCCGCCTGAGAAAGATCGGGGGAATGCAATTCGTGGGGATGTGGTTCAGACGGTTTAGAGGGGAATTGAAAGGAAGACGAACTAATGATCCGTTGAGGGTTCTTCGCCTGTAAAGAACCGAGAGTGCGCTTGATCACTACTGCAAATGAACCTTGGCCTTCGCGCTATGTGTCCCGTCCCACGGCTGGCCAAGTAAGGGTCTGGGGCAGCACTTCCCCGACGCTTCCCCAGACATAACTACCGATCCACACAGCTCACCATGCCATAGAATACATCATTCAGATCGGTTATACGCGAGTAGCCGAGGATGACCAGTGAGAAAAGGTCTGTGCCAGCGTCCCTACCGATCCCCGATCCCCGACCCGCGAATATAGAACATATGCCACTAGCTAGGAGACGCTTAATACCATGTCGACTAAGCCCCCCCCACAACCCCGGCTCAATTTCGGGCCTACCGCCGCTTCATTTCAATCACCGGTGGCGCTGTCTCGGGTCCCAAATTGCAGGGTAACATCTTTCCCCATAGTAGTGGCGACTGGCACGCTGTGCGTTCAGATGAGGTTGTCCATGTCTACGCAAGCTACTCCATTCAACCCACAGATGACACTCTGATCGGCATTACTAACGAAGGCTACGGGCGCGCTAGTGCGAGCACCATGAAGCCAGTCTTCGAATATGAAGATCCCACAGCCGTATCCCTGGTCAATGGCGGTCGGACTGGTACACGCAAACAGTGCTAAAGTTCGATGTTAGTGCCGAGCGCGAGTACAGGTGACTGGTCAGTACGGTGTTCTTGGGAGTGCTCCAGCCGCCTACCCTGTAAGGATAGGCTGAAATTGATATTTACGAGGTGCTGTGAGATCTGTGGAGACTATTCTATTTGTATAATAATAAAATGAAATTGATCCATAGACACAATGTGGAAGACAGTAGATCAGTTTGGTCGTACAATCATTACCTCAATGACGCGGGATGGTGTGCACGTACTTGATCTGTCCATAACATCCAGTTATTTGCTGTATTCATCCTACATAAATAATTCCTCTGTCCCTCAACCCTATGCATAAACAACATTGTTCCTCAAGGTCCCGATCTGTGAGATTTGCACGTCCATCTGAGTTCCCGGAGCCAGCCACTTCGGGGGGTTAAAACCGGCGCCCACACCTAGTCCTGGTCAGCGTCCTCGGCACGCACTTGGAAATCACAAGTAACAAGTGTCACTAACCTCCGGGTGTTCCCGTCATTATAACACTGCCCTTTTGCAATGTCGTGCCCTGTGACAAATAGGAGATCAAGTATTTGCAGTCGAATAGCAGATCATCCACCGTCTCATCCTGCCGCACCTCGCCGTCAACAATGGTCTTCAGGTGCAACTTCGACGGATCGGGGATCTCTGATGCTGCGACTAGCACAGGGCCCAGGGGCGCAAAGGTGTCGAAGCCCTTGGAAAAGCCCCATTGCGGGACAACACCGGCGTAGGCGGGATCGCGCTGCAACTTACGGGAGGAGATGTCGTTGCCAGCCGTATACGCCGCCACATACTCTAGGGCATGCTCCGGGGAGACATCCTTAGCGTCCTTACCAATGATGAGACACTACAGGCCGGTTAGGTAATTGCGAGCGCGGGTAGGGGGGAAGAGAGAAATTGCGAGACAAACCAATTCGCCCTCATAGTCCGCTTGGTCGTTCTGTGCGATCCGCGGGATCACGACAGGCTCGCCGTGGTCATGCACACAGGTGTTCGGCTTGAAGAAGATGAAGGGGAAGGGCGGGGGCTTGCGTCCAGCTTCCTTGACTATTGATTGCGAAGAAAGCTTAAAGTTAGGTCATGATGATGGGGACAAACTTCGACAGTACAAGGGAGTGAGGTTTTAGGACATACTATGCTTAGCGTAGTTGAGGCCCACGCAGCGTAGAATGGGTACGTCGCCGGGGGCCAGGGGGGAGAGGATCTGTTTCACAACCACAACCTCGTCCGTTACGGTGGTTTCACCCGTTATATCGTATATATCCTGGCCTTGGATCACGCGGGCTTGCAGCTGATCGGCTTCGGTGATCAGCCCGAGATCGATCTTGTTCTCTGCCGGCAGGATGGGTTCGCCGCGCAAGATGCGGCCATCGAGGGCGCGAAAGCGGATCAAGCGTTTCCAAGGGAGACGCATATTTCTCTGGGAGATGCGAAAGATGAACTGCCACCGACAACCAAGAGAACGGAGTAGAGCAGTCGCTTGAGAATGTATACCTGCTCCAACGCATTGACTTATCAGTGGGGCGGGGAGTCGTCGGAAAGAACCCGCAATAGAGAGACTCGGTCACTCGGTAAGCCGAAAAACAAGTCCCGGTTACTCCCCGGTAGAACTCATAGGACGCAGCCAGCGCCACAGTTGCATTCTATAACCGTCCTCCTTAACTGTTTTCCCTTCGTAGATCTTTTCCCACAGTCACATCATTAGTCTTTTCGCCCAATTCACCATGCCCGACACTAGAATCTGCTTTCCCGATCGCCCCCAGTTCTCGGGGTTCATGAAGCCCTGTCGCGTGGAAGGAGATGTATCCCAATTGGAAGTTTATGGCGAGATTCCCAAGGACATTGATGGAATATTCTATCGAGTAATGCCTGATCCTCAACTGCCTCCCTTCATTGACAATGATCCAGTAAAGAAACATTTCACTAAGCCCCCCTCATCCTCCTGCCCATCAACAGAAAAGACTGACTGAGACAAGTGGTTCAACGGAGACGGAAATGTCAGTGCCTTCCGCATCCAAGACGGCCGTGCATCATTTCGACAACGATACGTGAGAACTGAGAAGTTTGTGCGAGAGCGCAAGGCTCAACGCGCATTGGTTGGTGAGTAGTGAACCAGCCAGTTCTAGCGAGACCAACACCCATCAAAGCTAACAGTCCAGCCCAGGTAAATACAGAAATAAGTTTACCGACGCTGTGGAGTTCAAAGTTCGCAGCACTGCCAACACTAACGTGGTCTTCTTCAACGGGCAACTGCTGGCTCTAAAAGAGGATTCTCCCCCTTACGCCATGGACCCTGTCACACTAGAGACAAAGGGGCTGTATAACTTCGAGGGTCAGCTGCCCAGCCTCACCTTCACTGCGCATCCAAAATTTGATCCGGTCACGGGCGAGATGGTCTGTTTTGGATACGAAGCGCAGGGCGATGGCACCCCCGACGTGTGCTACTACAGTGTTTCACCGACCGGCAAGTTCACGGAGGTAGTCTGGCTGGTTGCGCCGGTGGTGGCGATGATTCATGACTTTGCCGTGACGGATAACTGGGTCAGTGAACCTGTTCCTCGAAAGGCTAGGGGGAATCTATACTAATGCCAAATGTAGGTAGTCTTCCCAATCATACCTCAAGTCTGTGATATTAAACGCATGGAACAAGGAGGTGAGCACTGGCAATGGAGCCCCGAGACACCACTCTATTTGGGGATCATGCCCCGTCGAGGCGCCAAGGCTGGAGATGTAAAGGTATGGAAGTCTCTCGCCCTCCGTCTGCGGTTACGGGAATTCTAATCCGATGCAGTGGTTTCAATATAAGAATTCCTTCCCCGGCCACACAGCCAACGCCTACGAGGATGAACAGGGTCACCTGGTGATCGATTTAGGCTTGAGTGAGAAGAATGTGTTCTTCTGGTGGCCAGATGCCCAGGGAAGGGCACCGGAGCCCAGCTCGATTGTCTCCCAGCTAGTCCGGTTCACCATCGATCCCCAGTCCGAGGAGCGGGCCCTCTCGAAACCCGAAATTTTACAGCACGGCAACTCGGAGTTCTACCGAATTGATGACCGGTTTGCCACCCGTCCCTATCGCCATTGCTACTTCGACCTGATGGACCCGCAGTTAGGTACCGATTTTGAACGGATTGGGCCTAAGTTGGGGGGTGGGTTCCCCTTATATAACGCCGTGGCCCACTTTGACAACGTCACGGGGCAAACAGAAGTCTACTTCCCAGGAAACGTCCATCTGGTCCAGGAGCCAGTATTTGTTTCACGGAAGGACTCGACTACAGAGGGGGATGGGTATATTCTGGTATTGGTCAACAACTATGAGACTATGGCCAGCGAGCTCCATCTACTGGACACGCGAGACTTCACTCGCGCGCAGGCCAAGATCCTGCTTCCGGTCCGCTTGCGCCAGGGTTTACATGGAAGTTGGGTGGATGGAAGCGATGTCAACCCACAGAGCCCGTAATTGTAATGGAGTTGGCGGTCGTCAGTATCGTTCCAGCATTGGAATTTAAGTATTCCAAACAACCATCAGTTGTTTGCATTAGTTCTGCAGACGTTGAAGTATGGGGATAAAGGCGTTCTTAAGGGCAGTGACCATACTGTCACGGCGTCTGCCCAGCACCCTACATAGAGTTCGATAGCTCATGGAATTCAGAACCCTAAGCAATTCGTTCTTCTCCAATCGTAGTAGATTCTTCCTTTTAATCCTGGACACCCCCGATCTCCCTAGTACTATAAATGTTGCAGCCGGCTCTCCTACATTGCCCCAAAGGCCTACCGCCAGCTAGATCTTGTATACCGGAAGGGCGCCGACACTAAGTTGAATAGTAATGCGTCGGTTTTTGTAAGTGCTAGCGGGTGTTGTGCTAGCTACAATCTCAACTGGATGGTTACCTAAACAGGTACGATTGAAGGCGAAGACTAAAGTTATCCTAGGTGGAATTATACGTCTTTTTTATATCCTCGTGGTCAGTATATGCCTGCTAAATTTTGAAGTATGTCAACTTCTAGCGAGACACTGCATCACACGAGGTCGCTTTAGAGAAAAATATATAAATAAATAAAATCAGCTACTGTAGTAAATGTGGATGTAGCCTATGCGCTAGATCCCAATAGGTGGTTAAAGTCTACAGTACATCCCTTAGCTACCTGTGCAACTATCTCCATTGAAATATCTCGCTGTCGGTACAACTGTGTCCGAAAAGACATAGCATTCTAGGACTTATTTAGTTCATTCACCCTTACACTCCGGTGGACCCTACTGATGCAGAGTGACGACTTTAGTCTGCACAAACTCCTCCAACCCCCAGCGAGCGCCAAATCGCCCCCAACCACTATCCCCATACCCTCCGTGAGGTAGAGTCGGTTCGTCATGCACCGTCATGGAATTAATGTGGACTGCACCTGCCTTAATAGCACCGGCCAGCTTAAGGGCGCGATAATGATTGCGGGAAATAATTGAGCTTGATAATCCATAATTAGCCGCCTGCATGATAGCAGTCATCTGTTCTTCTGTCTCCACCGCTACAATACCGACCACAGGACCGAAAGACTCAATTTCAAAAAGGTCCATCTCGGGCGTCAATCCCGTCACAACGGTTGGGGGAAAGGATCGATCCGAGACCTCGTGATTTACTGTGGTGTGAGACGTATGAATCTGGGCGCCCTTCTTGCACGCATCAGACACGAGCATCTCTACCTTGGCCTTAGCAGACGGTGAGATGAGCACCGAGGTGGTATTGATATTGCGCAGGATAGCCAGAATCTTGGCTTCGAGAGCCGGAGCCACGGCGATTGTAACCAGGACCTTGTCGGTGGACATGCAGATTTGACCGTTCTGGTACTACTCTTAGCTTTTTCTGTCCCGCAGGGCCCCTGACCTCGGGATTTTAGCTTACATTGAGAAAGGCACCTTTGGTGATCTCTTGGGCTGCAAGATCTAGGTCAGCATCATCGAGGACCACCGTGAAGTTCTTGCCACCGAGTTCCAACAAAACAGGCTTCAGAGCGAGGGCGGCTTGCGAGGCGATAATACGTCCGACTTGGGTTGAGCCAGTAAAGTTACACTTTTTAATAGCGGGGTGTTTTATAAGTACGTCGAAGATCTCCGGCGCGTCCTCCGGTCGATGCAGAAGGAAGTTCAGGACGCCGCGGGGGAAACCAGCTTGCCGGAACAGCGAGGCGAGAAGGTAGTGAGTTTGGGGACTCAATTCGGAGCCCTAGATTAATACCAGTAAGTAAATAGATTGCCCCGCGTGTATCAGTAGCAATCAGTAAGCGGCTTGCCTTCAAGATCGCAACATTTCCAGCGGCAATAGGAGCCACTACAGCACGAAGGCCCAAGATTATGGGGGCGTTCCAGGGAGCGATTCCGAGAACTACTCCGAGAGGCTCTTTAAGGACTAAGCCATAGCCGTTCCGGACAAAGGGCAGTGAGCCCGTGGCGATGCTAGTGGTAAGAGCACCATACTCTTCAATCATACCGATAGCGTCATTGGTAATGATTTCTGCCCATAGGGGTCCGCAACTGATCTCTTGATCACACACCCGCTTGATTTCCTCGGCTCTACTGCGCAGAACCTGGTTGCCTCGATTGATCAGTGATGGTTATTGCATTATTTATCCATATCGGGGGGCTCACAAACTTCGGCCAACTTGAAGAGGAAAGTCCGGCGCTCAATCGGGGTAGTCTTTGACCATGCAGCAAATGCCTGCGCACTGGACTGTGCGGCTTGTAACGCCAGTTCCTTGGTTGCGCCTTGATAAAGGATGGGGCCCTGTGCATATGCGTTGACAACGGTGCCGTGCCTATCGTGAGGCAACAGGACATCCTGTCCATCAATAATGAGGGGAATAGTCGACATGTTCATGATGGGCTATGAGTAGTGCAAGGCTTATTGAGTGGTAAGCTTGTGGATTAAGTGCTACACAGCATTATAACCACTGGCACAGTCTCAGTGTAGGGGGAAGTAACGGCAGTTAGTACGGCAGTGAAAAGATATCTACAGAATCATCCCGAGATCGTCGAGTGGAGCAGTAACCCACGGCCGGGGAGTCAGCGGAAACATCAGGTTAAGCCCCGGCAGCTTGATGTGAACGGCCTGGTCGAGAAATCAAATAAAGGATACTAGGTTATTTGGCCCTATGTTGACCCTTGCGGAGTACTGAAGATAAAATACGCCTACAAAGAGCGTTTTGAGACCAAGCACCCGGTTCAACAGCTCGCTCAGCACTGGCCACTCCGAGAAAGTACCTATTTGAGCACCTTTTCAACCACTTTAATTTTCAACAATGCACTTCTATCTTAGTTCAGGTCTATGGCATAATTATATGTGGGTGAGGTCTTCTCATTCAGCATATTACGCAGGAGTTTGCGGAAAGCAATAACCTAGTATAGCATAGAGCTCAGAGCTCATGCGCTTGGCCATGTATTGGCAAGATGAACTCTGACTAACAATTTATCTATTATAGCGGATTTTTGGTCATAATAGCATCGAAGTTTCAAGTTCTAGCTATTCTAGTCTAGACATACTATTAGAAACCTATGGAGAGCAAAGAGTGAAGCAGCTGATATATAAGTAACTTATGACAATTATGTGTAGTATTTGCTCTTTTCTTTGGACAACCTTTCGTCTATTCTGGTTGACTATCCAGACAAGTTAAAAATCCGACGTATCACCAGCTAGATGGGAGTCATGCACGCTCAACATTTGAGCTGCAGTCCAAACCCTACACCGTCTCTAGTAAAGTACAGTTTACTGTATTTGAACGAAAACGACGTATTGCAAAACGTTTATCTCACGCGGCTCATAAATCTCATTGATGCATCCAGAATAAAATGTATTCTGCGGGGTGCATTGACGAGGGATATAATATAACAGCATTGGCCATCTACTCCTTCCGCAACCCCCTCCACTCCGCCCATGCTTGGTCAATCTCGCGCTCAGCCTCGTAGCCATAACACCACATCTGGGTGGCCGGATCACTCCACTGATTTGGGCTATGACTGAAGGAAAGACCTTCCACTTCTGGCTCCATGGCAGCATCGCGTGCCTCCTGCATGGGCCCGTCCGCAAAGTGCCACAGCTGGCCGTTGAGCAGACTGGCCTCTTGCATTTGGCCCGCCCGTAGGATCCGCACTTTCTCGAAGATGGCCAGAGCCTCGGTTAGCTGCTCCTGGGACTGCATGTAGGATAAGGAGCGAGCTAACGCGACGCCGTCTTCTACGGCCATCGCTGCACCTATCATATACCAGTCAATGAATTTCACTCTCCAGGTTGCGTGCATACTTACCCTGCGACATGTAGGGCAGCATCGCATGAGCCGCGTCACCTAGAATGACCAACTTGCCCCTCGTCCAGCGGTTAAGCAAGGAACCACTCACCAAGGGCCATTTAATCGTCTTCTCCACCATACCAATGATCTTGGTAAGCCTGTGGGTACTCATGAGTAGGGAACGCCTAAACATACACGAAATGACTCACACAGGATCCCATCCTAGGAACTCAATTTTCATGGCTTGCAAGGCCGTCTGCACGTCCCACGTGGCTGGATCAGAGGTATCTGGGTGCGAGAGAACCATGTTGAAGGCTTTGCCCGCGCCAATCGTATAGGTCATGACGTGTCTCGAGTCGCCGATCCTGTGGTCTGGTGTGAGTATAAAGAAATCAGGACGGAGAGGCAGGTGAGGACACTTTACCAAATATTGAGCCCAGGCCGTTCCAGAATCCATGATACATCGGGGTCATTTCGCATCCGGTTGACATCCACCACCGCCCGATACGCAGCGAAGCCGGGATTTCGGAAAAGCATCTTCTCACCATCAAGGATTACGTTCCGAGCCACTGACTTGATACCTGTCATTCCCTCAGCTCGTATGATTATGTAGAAGCATAGTAGGGGAGGACAAACCGTCCACAGCGACGATGAGGTCTCCGGTATATCTTGTGCCGTCTTCCAGGGTGATACTGCCCAGCGCTGAATCGTAATCGACAACTCTCGCTCCCAGCCTGATCTGAATACCCATATCCTGAGCTTTCTGGTACAGCGCCGAGTGAAAGTCGGCCCTATGAACCACATAGTAGGGCGCGTGGAAGTTGTTGACGAAGTCCGGAATCAGCCTAGTCTTTCCTATTACCTTCCCATTCTGCCATCGGCGAAAGGAGATGGACTCTGGCGTGGTGACGTAAGGCTTCAGGTAAGACTCCAGCCCGAGCTTGAATAAGATGCGCGCTGAGTTAGATGGGATTTGAATTCCCGCACCAACTTCCCCGAGTACTGCTGTTTGCTCGTAAATGGTGGCCTTGTGGCCGGCCTGCGTGAGAGCGATAGCTGTGACCAGCCCTCCGAGACCCGCCCCGACAACAAGGATGTTCAATCCTAGCGACCCAGAGGTAGGCTTGGGAAGAGTGGGAAGGGTGCCCTCTATGGTCTTTGCAAACTGGAGGCAGTTACTCGGGTAGGTCGGCATCTGTCCATCGGTCAGAAAGGATGGCCCATGTTGATTGCGAGCCCACTGACCGTGAGTGGTCGTTGACTGGGGACCGTCCCCGGCCCTTCTCTAGAAACCATGGTAGAAATTGTACGGAGAGGATACGTTGCTCTATCGTGTAACGCTAAAGATGCGGCACGTGCTAGCGGCCAACCCTAGGTAGCCTCTTATACAGTTGTTGAGGATGGTTGGAGCATTTAGCCCAGCCGATCTATCCCCGCTATCTACTACTCCCGATCTACCCCCGATTGGCAAAGCAATCCGTCATTTGCTTGTATCACGAGAATAGGTTCTGAGGCAAACGCAGTTACTGTGAACTTTTATGATAAGAACCACTGGTTGACTCGGAGGAACTACCCTTCCCTTTTGCTTAACTGTCTGATTTTGTGGAGTACTACTCTCTCCACAAAAATACCACTTATCACATTCACTATGGCTCCTTCCCTGGTTAACACACCTGCGCAGAGCACGGACAGCGCGGCTCAACTGCTGCAGGATCTCGAGGATAGCAAAACTATGCCCCTCTGGACCCAGATGACGAGACTAAACCCCCCAGAGCCCAATCCCACCGCCGTCCCCTTTGTGTGGAAGTATGACAACATTCGCCCTAACCTGCTGCGTGCCGGCCACCTGGTCACCGAAAAGCAAGCAGAGAGGAGAGTCCTGATGCTGGTGAACCCTGCTCGAGGTACGCCCCCTGGGATGCTTCCTTTGCTTGGTAGCCGGGCCCGTTAATGACACCCCAAGTAGATGCCCCTTACACCACTGATACACTCTACGCCGGCCTGCAGCTGGTTATGCCGAATGAGACCGCTCCAGCCCACCGACATACGGCCTTTGCGATGCGCTATATTATTGAAGGCAACGGGGGCTTTACGGCGGTGCATGGCAGACGAATTCGCATGCAGAAGGGCGATGTGATTCTGACACCTGTTTGGAACTACCATGATCATGGCAAAGACGGCAGCGGTCCAATGATATGGCTAGACGGCCTGGATCTACCTAACTTCCGTCACTTCCCTGTCCATTTTGTAGAGCACTTCAGCAAGCCCCGCTACCCGGCCGAGGATGTCGACAAGTCTGCGTCCCCCATCGTTTTCCCCTGGGACCAGATGAAGGCTCGGTTAGACGAGACGGAGGGCAATTGGGCTACACAGCGCTATTTGAAAGCTGACGGTCGAGAGGGTAAGCATCCCTGATACCACGCCCTCTCCGCACGGTTGGGCTAAGGAGTGGAATATTTAGTGAGTCGTGTTCTGGGCGGCTGCGCAGAGAGGCTGGATGCGGCGACCTCGTCTCCACGCCGGCAAGACACCCTATCAGCCGTTTATCATGTCATTACCGGCAAGGGTCGCTCAGAGGTGGGCGGCCAGGCGTTTGAGTGGAAGGCGGGAGACACCTTCTGTGTACCCTCCTGGTATCCCTACCAGCATTTTGCTGATGCGGGAGAGACGGTCTATCTCTACCGCTTCGACGATAAGCCGATGATCGCGGCACTGGGATTTTATCGGTCGGTGGCGGATAATATTGAGACATTGATGTCGGACTGACAGTGACAGAAGAGCAGATATCTTTCTTGTGTCGCAGTAGTAGTAGAGAAGTTAGTTATGCAAATTTTCGCAATTGGTCATCTAAGCATAATGACGATGTTATGCGGTTCATAAATGTGCACATATGGAGCATTTGGCCGACTCAAGTTCCGGACTTTCCCCGGCTTCCCCGGCTTCGATGCCATGCCCTCTTAACTCCGGTTCTCAGTTCCATCCATACCCACTGCACAGCCTGGTAGAGATAGCTGTAGCAAAAGCAAGTCATAGCCAGCATTAGGCACCCTGTCATGGAGCTACCATCCGATCAAGCCACCCTCCAAGGACCACCAAGCAAACGTCGCCGCGTGGCTCAGGCATGCGATATATGTCGCACGCGAAAGTCCAGGGTGGGCATCCAATGGCTAAAGTCGAGCAATCCCACTAATTCCTGTGTTCCTAGTGTGATGGTGTTCGGCCTCAGTGTGGCATGTGCAAAGATCTAGGGTTTGAATGTATCTATACGCCGCCAGTCACAGCCACCAATGTGATCGTGCAAAAGGAGTGAGCATCGGCGTATTTCATTCCCATTGCTGCGTGTACTGATCGGTCCCGAGCTACCTCCAAAATCTGGAATCGCGGATGAAGTCACTCGAGGATAACCTCAACACTATGCGTTCAGACATGACGCGGCTGGCGGCGCACATGAGCAGCAAAAGCCCACCCAGCGACGGTCAACCGGAGCCCTGTCATCAACCACTGGCCGATCTGGCAGGACCAGAGGATCCCACTGACGCCATGGGCGCGGTGACCTTCGCGGATGAGGAAGAGTGCGGGTATTTTGGTGCGGTGATTCATCTCCGATCCGTCCAAAAGCAGGCTAATGGGAAACTGCTGCAGGCCCGTCATCGAACATCGCCTTTCTGCGGCACCTATCCCGTGCAGTGTCGCACAGTGAACGCAATCAACAGGAAATCAACTCTCCCCGGATGGATAAAATTGCCTATGATGGCGGTTTCGTCAGCGCCACTCGGCCTCCATCGCCGGTATCCGGCCGCACGCCCACGGCTGTGCATGCTGGGCTCGCGACGGATCCTCTCTTGCCGTCATCAGAAGAGACATTGCAACTGATTCGCCGGTATTTTTACGATACGGGTTTGCTGTTCCCTTACATCCACCCCCCGACCTTCTTTGAGACATATCACCAATTTAAAAACAATTCTAAAAAAGTCCGCCGAACCTGGCTAGGCTTGCTGAACATCATGCTAGCCATGGCGAAAGTTACTGCCATATCCACCCATGCCCCAGCTGAAATGCGAATCAAAGAGTCCGCCCGATACTATCGGCAGGCTCTTAATCTGTGCCGGGGCGAGATTCTACGAGGGACAACTTTGGAGGTCGGTGGGTTGGCGCACATTGTCCATTCCTCAGCGCAGCAATATTAACATTCCCGTAGTGCAGTATCTCCTACTCATGGGCCAGTATCTCCAGGGGACGCAGAAATCCGTCCAGGCGTGGACCGTGCACGGACTCGCCGTCAAGGCCGCGCTGCAGCTAGGGTTACATTCGAAAGATGCCTCCCAGGCGTTTCCGCCTCTCGAGCGCGAGATACGAAAAAGAACGTGGTTTGCCTGTGTGGTACTGGATCGGTACACGACTCTCCGAGCTTCGTTGATTCTAGTTCCCGGCTGATTGCCCCCTAGAACTTTGAGTATGACCTTTGGACGACCGCCTGCGATCCCTGACAATTATGTTCAGCTGGACCTCCCCGTCGTCCCAAGCATCACCGAGGGTCAACCAGTCGTCGATGACGAGATTATTCATCAGAGCATCCATTTTTTTAATCATACCATGTTGGTGGACACCACAACTTGGCCGTTCCACTGTCCTCGCAGCTAATCGTGACTAGAACCTTGTATAAGCAAATGGGCAACATCATTGACCGGATTTACGGTCAGAATTTGGGCTGTCAACCTAGCCTGTCAGTTGGTGAGACAATGGGCCGAGTGCTGTCGATCGAGAACCAGCTATTCTCGTGGGTTATGGCGCTTCCGGAGAACCTTCGTCAATTATCGCTGCAGGACTTACGCGAGGGAGTTGAGCAATCGGCATCCCAGCCGCGGCTGTTTCCCCTAAAGTTTCGGGTAGTTCTCACATTGCGATATCTCCACGTCCAGATCTTGCTGCATCGGCCCATCCTAGTCAAACTTCTTGACGCTAGCCACGCGTCCGGTCTGGAGCCCGGCGAAGAGCGGATTTTGAATGAAATCGGCTATAGTAGCATGAAGAAGTGCGTCGAATCGGCCATGGGTATTATCGACATGATCCACGAGCTAGTCTGTGCGACAGGGTGGCAGCGCGACCTTCTTGGGGCGTGGTGGTATTCCCTTTATTACAGTAAGTTGCCCTCCTTCACTTCTCCTTAGGCTTGCGGGTATCTCATTCTTCTTGTCTGCCGGGACAGCCTTCAATGCGGCATTAGTCATTATCGGGGCCACCTGGGTACAGCGCGCAAGGCAGTCGGTTCGAGATTTCCCGTCACATCAGGTTGCCAACATCGAGCTCTATCCTGGTCGCGCCGTCGCAACTCTGCGTCAACTGGATATGGGCAATCGGATGGTGGAACGCTGCAGGTACTACCTTGAGCAGCTGATATCTATTCTCCAATTACAGCGTAAGGGTTATGTTCACTCTGTCGACTCAATAACGCTAAGATTATACAGAGGAGGATTCAACTGATACGGCCCCGATTGAGCTCGGCCTGGCCGCCATGGGCAGCTCCATCACGGACGGTAACCTTCCATCGTTTGGCATTGAATGTGGAGAATTCATGTTGGATGACTTGTTTATAAATATCGCACAGGGACCGGCATTGGAACGTTGGTAGGCTGCGCCATCATCGACCGCATCTCAGTCTTGTTCATAAGCGGGGAAGGAAGGCTTGAGAGCTTGGTATCTTTACTCCCAGATGACCTCCTCTTTTCCTATACCAATGACCCCCACACTCTCTCTCTTCAGCTTCACTTTCTTGTAAATGCCCTAGTACACCGGAATCAACGTTTTATATGTCCCTCAGATCCTCCGAATGGAAGGAAATCGTTGTGAACGCTTGCATAAGGCGAACACGTAAGATTGGAGAGGTATAACGCTATCCAACTGGTTCAACATATTCAAGGGGGATCATTGCGAGCGGTAGAGTCATGGAGGCAATTGTATTCTCGAGAAACACTATAGAATATTTCCGGCTGCGAAACGGACCCGCTACAGGTTGGTTAATTAGGTCTAGATGGTTTAGATATCTTAGATAGTCATTTGTTTTAAGCATCATTTATAGACTAATCTTAGTCCACCATGAAAATATAGAGCAAAAATTATCTATTTAGCCACCGCGAAGTATTCTAGTATTAGTCAATTAGGGGATTTCCCAAGAGACCATCGCAGTTTACCGTACACGTTGGATCGATCTTAATTCTTGCTGCTGAGGTGTCGCCGATTGTGATCCTCGACGTCGCTCCGCCTGCTCCAAGCTTTTCGTGGTCACCATTGACTTTTGTCAACTTCTTACCCCCCACACCATTTTCCTTCTTTATCTGAGACATCCCTTGACCTGAGCTACTCGAAGGAGTTTCATGTGTGCATTTCCAACGACGCCGACCTTTTGTACTGCCTTTTGTAGACGCCTTTGCCAGAGGGATATCGGAGTCGGGCTCCTGGGAGATTTTAATATTCGTGCGTCTCCGTTTGACCGATTCTGATCTTCCAGGGCCGATCGTAGGATCACCCTTGTGACATACGCGAATTCGCTTCGACTATAGATCTCAATCAGAGGCCTTGCTACTGGCCCTCATAGAACGCGACCGGAGTGGTACATACCAAAGGGGCGTCATCATCACTGCTCTCTGATTTCAATGGGGGTTCTCGCCCGACGTTAGATGGGTTTTTTCTCTTCGCCATGCGATGTGTGCTTGAAGGCTGATGATTCTCAGCCATCCTGTTGTTCTTTCGATTTGTCGTCTACAGATGATATCTCCAGTCACACGTTAAAAGCGGTTTACAGGAGATATAACGCTGCTGCGAGGTGTTTGGCAGAGAAACAATGAGGTGAGGCTAAGTGAGGAAAGGAATTGGTTAAGAAGTATGGACATTATATGTTCACCACATATGCCTGGAAGCAGACAGAAAACACGAGTAATGTATCAGCGAGAAAGAAAAGAAAGAACTGCAAAACAAACAGCTGACATTGAAAGAATTCAAGAGACCAAGAAAATTCACGCTTCCTCGCTGAACAGTCTCCAAGCTCCTACGGCCATAGGGCTTTCGGAAGCTTATGTATCGGACCCGAAAACCGAGCTCTTCCGGACAGCGCAAAAAGACTTTTTCGACCACATTTCAAGAATTTACACCAAACTGCTTCAAATTACTAATCGCTATTTCTAATGAACCACTAAGGTTGCTTGGCTGCTTCGTGCTAGGGCTATATCGGCCGAACCTTCTTCTGATATGGGGCAGCAACGAAGCAGGGCTGCGGTACGTCACAGGGCGAATACCGACATCTCTTGTCGTCATGACTGATCTGTAGCTGATTACTAGATATTTGCTAGTGTGATCTGTGCTATTCTAGGAAGGTTTGTATTACAAACCCCGGATAGTAATTCCGTTGATTAATGGTCCTGTCGTGTAGGTGAAATGCGATTGAGAGGAACATTGTAAGAATTGTTGGGTGGCGCAGGTTGAATGTCGACGTACTCGTCCTGTGCGGTCTGCACGGTCAAGGCAGTCAAAGTGGGTTCTCATATTTCGTTATCCTACCCTATTGAAGCTCTATACCTGATGCCAATACCAGAATATCTGCTCTTGCCAAGAGATTGGAAGCCCTGGAGAGTAGTTCGCGTGCTCCTGACAGGTTTGTACTCATGTCTCATCCGGCTGAGGTTAACCTGGATACACGTACTAATTATATATATCTTAGCCATGCCAGCTCTAGCCCGACTCGTCAACCAGTGCAGCAGCAAATAGACATTAACAGCCATATGAATGAAGGGGAGTGTGATGATGCAAATAGCCCAGAAAAGAGGAATAATGTTACCCGGGCAGAGCCCATGGGTCAGAGTCTTGCGGCCTACGAGACTATACTCGAAACACTAGACGACCGTGCCAAAATATACAGCACGTGGACCCGCGTACTAGAGGCAGCAATTTATACTAATCACCAAATATCCAACACAGGGCCAACATTTCCAGTAGGTATTGAAGAGCCCATAGACCCGATGATTGAGCAGACAGACTCGCCCGAATCATTCAAGCCAGAGTTGTTGTACATGATATCGCCAGGTATGGTTCTATTTCCTCACAGATGACTACGATTGACGGAGTATGGTACATCAAACCTCTTATCCATGTCCCTAACAAAACTTCTTAACAGGACAATCCTACTATTCCCCCCCCGTCCATTCTTCTCTCTATTTTGCAATGTCGTCAGGACTTCGAGTTCTCGGGACATGCAACTGATGCAGAGAGCCACAGTAGCACTTGACCCCTTCAGCACGTTTGTACCAGCAGCCAAGTTACATCGGTTATTTGAAACCCTGCTCAACCTCTGTCGGCCTCTGTTCTTAGCCGACAAAGAAGCCTCTGATCAGTCCATGGCTGTTGTCAATGACGCAGCTGCATCAGCCAGCTTGGAAGACAATATTGGGCAGTTAGATAATAACGGGAGGCACACATGGCCCGATTGCGCGAATTCTAGTATTTATGTCGCAGGGGATCCAGTGGAATCTGAAGAGACTGTTTCAAGCATTCCCTGGGGCGAAGAACAAATGTTAGATCTTTTCAACAGCGAGCCGTGTCTCGAATGGCTCGAGACGGTGTCATTTAATTTGGCAGAATAATTCCAACGAGTAGAATCATTCTCCAAAGTCTCTGCGAACAGTCACCATAAAAGGCTTACGATCGATGATGGCATTGATCTTTTTTCTGTCTCTTTTATTTAGCAACAATAAAAGCTTCGAAACTCATCATCTCGATCCAGTATCTCCCAGAGCGGCTCACTCAACGTAAGATTAACATCAACAGCACAAGGCACCCCGTCTTCCTGTACATCATTCTGTCCTCTATCCTGTAAGGTCTGTTCCTCGGTCGACAGCATCATGGCCAACCCATCTACCAACGAGATCTCCGTAAAAGGAGGCGAAACAAGCACCGGCATAATCGGCTTCGCATCCACATCCACATCAAAATCAACACCAACATACATATCAAACTTCGACCACTGACTAACAATGAAACTGCCATTTCCAAACTCAAAATTCACCTTAATGCGACTCTTATCCGGCTGCGCCGCAACCCACTTCAGGGTCCGTTCCATTGTCGACGAGTCAACAGAGTGAATCTGCTCATGCAGTGCCTTAGCAACTTTCCATAGTGGCGCATCCGCCAATAACTCGTGCGAATGGTACGCAGTGGGACAGTAGACTGCGTTTGGGAAGTAGCGTGGGTGGAGATTGAGACGATCTGGGGAGCGACAATTAATAGAGGCCCAGAGCCCGCGCGTGAGTTCGGAGGCGGCTTTTGATGACGACATGCCTTGGGATTTGAGGTGTTGGAAGCGGACCTGGTAGCTGCGTTGGTAGAGGTATGCGGATAGGGCGTCGGACGTGGATACCCAGTCTTGGGTTTGTGGGTTGGGGTCTGTTGCGAGGGTTTTCAATTTCTGGAGCTCTGGGCCTGGGAAGCGTAGTACGCGTCCGATTACCCGGGGTTGGAGCTTTTGATTTGCGCTTGTGAGAGGTGGGTCTCGGGGTTTGGTGGAGAGATTGCCAGTCGCTTCTATGTAGAATACTGATGGCTGGTATTTGAGGGCTTCGTGGCGTTCTTCTGGGGACATGGTGTTTGCTGCTGAGAGGTATGACCGGATTTCCGGTGGAGAGGAAAGGGTCGGGAGGGCGATTGCCTCGGACTGATTGACAGGAACTCCCCGGTAGATCTCAGCGAGGTCACGGACGAACTGGAAGAATCCATGTGCGTCACAGACGATGTGATGGAGCCGGATTCCGAGTGAAACGCCCCCGCAAGCAAACCGCGTATGCTTGATGGCGACAAGAGGATCGCGACAGACTCCTTCCATCGTCGGGTCGAAAGGGGGGAGTAGGGTGTTTCCAGATGCAGGTAGATGTGGCATTAGAATGCGACCTGAAGTGGAAGCCGAAGCAATGTCGTCCAACCGTGAGCTACACTGGGCCTCTAGGAGCTCTGCTCCGGTTCCTAAAGCCCCAAGCTCTGGGACTTTGCTACTCGGGTTGAAATGTAGGCGACCTGTCAGATGCGGATAGTAATCTAGTACCATTGAGAGTGCGCGACGTAGGCGTTCAGCCGGTATGATCTCAGTGGTCTTGGAGTCAACACCTCCACTTATTGGTGAGTTCCTATAGATGAAAATCACCTGTATCGGTACAAAAGGGAACACTAAGTGATCCCCGGGCCCTAGATTGAATGGTGACTCCAACGGTAGCATTGCTGTCTTGTTGGCACACTGTACTGAATGTCTCGCCGTGACATGGATCTCATCGGTTGACGACATCGTCTCAACACTAGTAGATCTATATAAGGTGTCCAAGGTGATCGAGGAAGAAAGGTGGGTTCCGAAAATGTGCCTCAGTCGAGGGTGAGAAATTTATACCGCACCAAAGAGAATGCCACTTGAAGGACACGGTGCAAATTGCTCTATTATACCATCCGGAAAACCCATGTCGAGCCTTCATTCTTTTATAATTATATTTCTTCTCATGTTCGTCCGAAGTGAGTTAAATATGCTTAGTAAGGAACTTTTACCTCGGACGAAGCTGATACGGACGAATGAGAATCGCATGGAGTGGTTCCACTACGGGCAGGATATCTCTTGCCTCGCCACACGAGTCGGTAACTGTAGTTTCGTCCGAACCTAACGAAAAGGAATTTAGTACAAGCCGACTCCATGCCTCCAGCCAGGCGAATGAGGAAGGGGACGCATAGCTGCGTTTCTTGTATGTGGGCCTCCAATAATCATGGGTCAGTTAAGTAATAATCGAATCTAAACTAACACGAACCCAGGCCGACGACGGAAGGTCCGCTGTATCTTCCCTCCAAGTAACTCAGAAAGGTGCATTCACTGTGCAAGGCGAGGATCTACGTGCGTCCCACAGGGGTCGGACGTATTCCAGCCTAACTATGACTCGAATCAAACATCTTCAGGGGTCTCACCCAGTGCCCCAATAACCGGAAGGGATCCCCCAGACGTCCATTCGGATGGGTCGGTTCATGTTATTGGAGCACTAGCCCAACTAAAAGAAAGAGCTAGGTTATCTCTTAAGGGAGATCAACAATATGCAATGGACGCGGCTGCCAACAGCGCAGTCATCAACCCAGATACTGTGCAAAGTGGATGTGCGCCTATCATGAAGTTATTAAATCATGAACTAGTAGGACACTGCCCTTGATAGAAGGTCTATTGCTGTATCATTCTGCTCACGATGTGCAGATTGGTCAGACTCAGCCGGAAAAAGAGGCTTTTCCCATGTCGGCAATTCCACAACGTAAGGACAGCACGCGCCATAGCTCTGCACAACATATAGAACGGGCTGATGTTATATACGGACTTTGTCTGGCGTTGCCATCCGAATCAGAGATGATGGAGATCTTTCGGGCACGATGTCATTGGTGGCGAACATGGCGGGAGTCCTTTGCACTGGGTTGGGGCGAAGAAGATGATTCTGACCTCCAGAGCTTCGCAATGCGGGCGTTTCGTACTGGACATCCTTGCCTCTTGGCAATATTGTTACTGTGTTTTGCATTTAGTACCGGTGACTTTGGAACGTACCTCCGTCCGGTAGAACAGTTGATTCTATACGATGATAATCTAGCTGGTGGCAGATATGGTCTCCAATGTTTGATGGCATTAGGGCTATGCTATATGAGCTCCCTGCAGCCTCGGCGAGCCTGGATCGCGTACCGCAGGGCCAACACCCTAGCTCAACTTGCCGGTATCCACCAGAAGCATAGGAACTCGGCACTCTTAGATTCATTGTTTTGGCAACTGTTTAGTGCAGATCGATGGGTAAGCCTGATGATTGGGCTTCCGTACTCGATTCCAGAGAACCTTTGCGATCTAAACATTCCTCCTTTGACAGAGACCTCGCCGATCATTTTCCATGCTCGACATCTAGCTGTGTTGACCGGTCGGGTCATTGATTGCTTGCAGATCAACAAAGAGCCAACGCTTTCGTCAGTCATTAGAACTGATGAGCAGATTGACGAGGTTACCTCGCAGCTCCCGACGGGATACCTAGACATGGAGCAGATATCTACTTGCCAAGATATTCCTGAGAAGCATGCACGGCTTTACCGGCTGGCAAACATCCACCAGCTGAAGGCATATTTATACTTGCCATTTTTCTTGCAATCTTCGGGTATGAGTGGGCGAGAACATGGCCGAGCTTCGTGCGTGAAAAGTGCACGGTCGCTGCTCGAGGCTTACTTATGTTTGTATGAGAGTGATCCTACCACAACGCGCATCGACAACAGCGTCAAGCTCTCCGGATTCTCGGCACTTAGCGCTGCGGTCATTATCTTCCTTCATCTCCTCGGGCGACATACTTCGCGAGAGAAAAAGTCGAAACCGGACCCGGACTTATATGATCAGTCTCTTATCAACCGGACGCTTTCTGCCCTCAAGGATTGCTCCGAAGGCCAACCACACTCGCTGAGTGGTCAATGCCATACAGCCCTAGAGGAGCTAGTAGTAGGCAGTAAATCATTAGAAAAAGGGACTGGTCGTCAAATTGCCGTGCCGTATTTTGGTATCGTGACTGTAAATCGCGAATGTGATGACGCTGTTGAAAGAGAGGATGAAATATGGGAAGACATTCCGACAGGGTTTGACGTGTCCGAGCCAGTAGCTACGGCTTCGGAGCAATACAATCTCCCAATCTCGTTTGATGACCTATTGTTTTCATACGATGGTCCGTGGGTGGTCCCTAATCCGATGCATTTGGACTTGGCTGTGGATCAGGTTGATGCGGGGTTGGACTGGATGTCAGAGCTCAACTCTAGCGGTAATTTCCGAGAGTAACTCCTTACTTCCAACAATGTATGTACTTACTGAAGATGTACATCTTCAGAGGTAGGTATGTACGGAGGAATATCTGATTATTCTGCCTTTTGCCTCCTGTCGATCATCTCCACTACAAGTGGAAGTAGCATATTCCAAATTGGTTTCCTGGGTCGGGACGGAGGTGGGGGCAAGCTAGCGAGTGGCCTCGGTATGCACCTCCTAGTGCCAAGTTAGCCTTGAGCTGAGCTGCTGAATGCGTGAAGCAATGGGAATCCGCGGGTGATGTGTTCTTCAGGGTATCCACATTCAGGTGATCGGAATCTTTGATTAGTCGCTCGGGCCGCCACTGCAACCAAATTAAATGGAGTTCGTGTTCATGTTCGCGCGACGATGCACGATGATTAATTTGATCGGCGTTCTAAAGGCTATGAAAAGATTCCGGACGAGATCTTGAGGTTTGGGTCTTGTAAGTTGTAACAGCTTCCTCATCTCTTAACGTGACACCTTTAGCGCGAGTGAAACTTCCAACACAGATTTATGCAAGGGGCTGACTGAAGGGAGAGCCTACGAGTCAAAGCTGATCGACGCCATTCTATTCATTGAAATTTTCATGAGGCGTTCGTTTCAGTGTGTCGCGTCCTTGCGGCTGAGGGTGATATATAGAAAAAAAACCAATTAGGGCAGCGGAACTGCGGCTGAGCTGAAGGATAGCAATTCGTATCCACCGCGGGTCGGATGCATTTTTTCCTTTTTCTCTCGTTGGTCCGACAGGGATGATCAGATTTTGCGATTGCCTGGTTTAGCGACTATTAATGGGCATGAACTATTGACTTGCTGATCTCATGTTGCATGGGCCAAGTTAATTTGCCATTTATCCCGGCGAAAACCCAACCCCAGGCGTGTTTCTCGTATTATAAGACAAGAGGGCTGCCGAATTCCCCGGATTCAAAGACAGAAGGATAATCATCCCGTCAGTCACCCATCGCCAGCGACTCGAGACCATGGAAAGCGAAAAGCAACTGCCATGGGGTTACCGATGGCGCTCATCCCGAATCTTCATCCTTACGACGGTTCTCGTCGCCTTGTTTGCTGGTATTTTTTCCCTTGGCGTTGTAGCTCTGATGGTGCCAAATATCCTAACAGCTCTTCACCAGAAACCTTCCTGTATGGCTTCGTGGTTCCGATCTTGAGCTTTATGCTGGAAGATCGTCTTGGCATGGATCCATCCAAAACCCAGCGCATGACCACTGCCGTCCTGACTGTCCATGGCTTCGTGTCTCTGATCTCCGCGCCCATCATTGCCCATTTTGCAGATAAGACACCGAGCCGGAAGACTCCGCTGCTGATCGCTCTTGCAGGATGTGTGGCAGGTACCCTTTTAGTGGCCTCCACTTTTTCCAGTATGTACATCCGTCAAATCTGGTAGTTAAACCTTCGTTGAACTCACGGTCACATAGTTGAGGCGCTTTTTATCGGTCGGATCTTGCAGGCAGTGTCCGGTAGCGCCACATGGATTGTAGGGTTTGCGACCTTGACTGACAATATCGACCTGGACCATGTTGGCAAGGCACTGGGAACGGCTATGTCCGTTGTCACAGCCGCACAGCTCGGTGGCCCCATCGTCGCTGGTGCACTACTGGAGTTGGTGGGATACTGGCCGACTTGGAGCGCTCCTCTGCTGGTGCTCTTCCTGGATATTATCGCACGTCGACTGATGATCGAAAGGCGAGAATTACCGCTTGACCGACCCCCGTCTCCAAAGCTAACCGCTCCTCGCGACCCCGAGGAGAGCGAAAGGGCGCCGCTGCTTCCACCGTCATCCCCTACCAACAAGTCCCCAGACTCCAACACAGGTGCCACGGAGACTGAGCAAGTCAAGCCATCTCGCTCTTTCTACCGCATTATGATCAGTGATGCTGGCGTTGTGGCCTGTGTACTGAACACTCTTACCTTTGCCACCCTCATCTCCGCTTTCGATGCCACTCTCCCTCTTCACTTGCGCGATACCTTTCACTGGAACACCCTCTCCGTGGGCATGATTCTCCTAACTCTCCAACTTCCCCCTATGTTTCTTGGCCCTGTGGTCGGGTGGCTTCGCGATCGAGTTGGTGCCAGGTTGCCTGCGACGATTGGCTGGACGCTCTCGGCCCCAGGTCTGTGGCTGCTGGGCGTTCCCGGTGATAAGAAGTTCCCATGGGCCAGCCCAGAAACCAATGGCGAAGCCATCTTCCTCACTGGTCTGGTTAGTCTTGGTATTGTCTTCACCTTGATTCGCGGTGGGGGCACGATGCAGTTGGTTGGTGAGTCACGCTGGGTTCTTCTCCTTCCCTATCCCTAGTACAAACTCATGCTTATTAAATTTTCTATCAGCTGCTACCAAGGACATGGAAGCAAAGGATCCAAATATTTTCGGAGAATTCGGTGGGAGTTCCCGGGTCTTCTCCTTGACCGAAGTGGCATTCAGTCTCGGTTCCATGCTAGGTCCGTTGATTTCAGGCACTTTATCCGAAACGGCCGGGTATTACTATATGAATCTAGTTATGGGTAAGTGTACAGCATGTCTTGTGCCGTGGTATGTCTGCTAATGGTATTATCAGGTGCATTTTGTCTTCCGGTGGCGTTGTCGTGTTTTCTGTACTTCCGAGTTTGAGTAATGGGTGGGTTTTAAAATTAGGATATACGTAATGTTTTTATTGTATAAAAAAGGGAATGATAATATAGTCTGCATTTATAGCGGACCTGATTAGCAGGTACTGTGCTTATGTTCAATTAAAAAAAATAAGATCTTCGACAAGCACTAAAACTAATACTACATCAGAGAAAGGTTTATCTGTATGTTCCTGTACTGCATATGCTTTCTTGATACTGACACCTATCATAATCAAGCTGCATCGACAACGCATACATGGTCATTGATACAATGAAGTATGTAAACGTGACCTACAGACACAGAAAGCGTACTCATTCAGATCCACCTAGTTCCCAATCAAGGATCATAGCCACGGGTCACGACCAGGAAGACTATGAGTAATTCTGAATCAGACGCCCTACTACCAGATAACTACTTGTCCATTCTTTGAATAAGCCAGCCAGGTCGCCACCATGCAGAACCCCGATGAGAACATCACCCTACACAAACCCAGTTAGACAATCATCCATCCGCCGGGACCCAAACGCAACTTACATCTCATCTAAGGAGGACCATCATACACCCAAGGTTTCTTATGCTTGTAGCAGTTGGCACCATCGCACAAGAACCCCTTGGGGCACATATTCGCGCCTTTGCACACATTGTCTAGACAGTTGCCCTTGTGGCACCAGCCACCTTTGCAGTCCGCGTAACTCAAGCAACGAGGGTAGGCTCTGGTTTCAAACGTATCTTGCGTAGCCATTTCGGTGGCAGGGTTGTAGTCCTCGATGACTTCGTCTTCGGTTATTATGGTTAGTTTCTGTTTCTCTGTGTGTAGTATTGGGAGTGAGAGTCCTGGGGGGGGTTACCAGCTTCACGGCGGGCATTGGGGAGTATGGCTATTGAAGTTGCTAGGGTGCAAAGGGAAAGAAGAATCATGATTTGGATTCTCATTGTGTGGTATGGGGTTATGGGGTTCTTTCAGTCACGGATGTGGATGGATGACGGTCTGGAAAATATGTAGGCATACGAAGCACAGAGCAGGAGGACAGGGAGTAAAAAGATGTGAGCCACATCCCTATTATTTATACCATTTGTCTCGGTCAGTGGGTGAATAGGGACATTCTATCGCTTTCATTGAATGGAACCCCAGCTGTGTATTAACTCACTTACGGGTTCTGCGGAGGTTATGATAGGAGGAAGACAAATGGCCTGGTGAATGAACGCTCGTTCCTTTGTCTACATCATACACAGTCAGTCAGGGTTGACGTATATTTATTCCCTGACCATCACAAAGATTACTGCCAGGCTTTGTAGTTAATTATAGAAAATATTGATACGACCGGCAAATAGACAACCATAACGATCTATCCCTATCAGAACTTGCTCCTGGTTGGGTCAATGATACCATTCAGACAGGCAAAGATATTAGTTAGTATTTAACTCTAGCTTTTACACTAGTGAATAGTTTAATTCCACCAGTTAAAGGCATAGGTCAATGCGGCCACACCTTCACATATGTCTTCGATATCTTGAAAGAGCCCCACAGAGCTCGATGACAGCCGAGATTACTTTGCATGCCTGTTTATATCGGAAGCAGTGTCGTCCTCTAACCTGCAAATCATGATGCTGGATGAAATATATGGATGAGGGCATCTCCTCTTCGAAGTGTTTGTAGATCGTAACTATGTATAGCGCCTTTTGTCTTGCTTCTCACGGTGGAAATAGCATTGAGATTGCGCGTGTCAATGTTCCATCGTCAAAAACACTTCATGAAACGCGTATACTAGTCCAACAGAGTCTACCTATGACAGGGAGAAGTACGACCGAGGTATCCACGCTGATTCCGCTTGTGATCTCGGCACTACCCGATCAATTGGCTAATGGATTCCCCAGACAAGTCTCCACTGCTGATCACTCGTTTTTCCCGACTGACACATATAAGAAAAAGCCAAAAGGAACCGCTGCAGCCTACATCTCAGTCCCTTGGGTATCTGCGGAATCACGTTCAGCCAAAATGTCTACGAATCTGTCAATGCCCCCTCTGCCGGCAGTGTACCTTCTCATGGGGTCCTTCCCATTGCTGGTCATTTCGGAGTCCGTATCCCGATCCCACACTGGCACAGCCTTATTCAAAATGCTCTCTTCGGTCGCTTTCCTCAGTGGGCCACTCTTTTTAATATCAGGAGAGTGGACTTCCACTCGCTCTTTCATCTCCGCCGGCCTTCTTTTCTCCCTAGCCGGTGACTTTTTCTTAATTCCCTCGCGAAGCGAATTCCATAATGCGGACTCCCATCCCCAAGAGGAAAAGAAAATCTCCATCTCCTTCCAACTAGGCGTGGTCGCCTTCGCAGCAGCTCATATAGCCTATATCCTGGCCTTCTTCCAGGACAACGAGGTGATCTCGTGGGGAACCTTCGCAACAACATTCCTCGCAACCATGGCGGTCGCAAAATGGCTTGGCGTAATCTATCCACCGCCGCATTCCTCGGCTCGAAGTAATGTACTGGATCTCGCCCTTCCTGCGGATATGAAAGCATTGGTCCTGGTATATGCTACCATCATCAGCGTGATGTTTGCTACTGCGGCTTCGACGACCCCGGTGGATGTTTCGTCCTGCTGGCAGTACCAGCGAGTGTTTGGCGCGGCGATGTTCGTTGCTAGCGATGTTTATGTTGCGAAGGATGCGTTTAAGAAAACTCCTGGAAACCGAGGTTGGGTTCAGAGTACTTTTGGGTACGGGTTATATTTTTGGGGGCAGATGGTTATCGCGGGGTTGGTGCAGGGCTGACTGGTTTGTTGGTTGAGAGGAGTGTGCTTCGATATTTGATAACTGTTGGGGTTAGTATCGGATTCTAATAGGAGCTAGCATGCTGCCTGAATGAAGCTCATGAAATGTCTGACAATCGCTATGGAAAGACAGATAGAAGACTGGTCATGTGGATGGACTGTGCCCTAGTTTACTCCATGTTACTCACCTCAAGTAGCAAGATCCAACATGCCACACATGCTGAGAACAGCGGTAGAGTGGACATAGATTAAATGTTACCAGTTCGTCATTGAATTCACAGAATCGTTCTGTCATGCTCCTTCCCAGCCAGGATAACAACGTGAGCATCAAAAATACAAAGCATATCCTCACTCTAATAGTGCTCATTCATGGCTTGCATCGTCATATGCTCTAATTAAACAATCTCTCAGGCGTTACGTAAACCAACAGCTCAGGCCTTTTTTAAAAGTGTCTGGAAACCTGTATAAATATCTTCCGCCAGGCATCACTGCCAGATCCTCAAGGCTTTCCCATCCAACCTTTAAATCGTATCAGAAGGGCATTGTTGGCCTCTGACAAAGTTTTCGATTTTTTAAACAAAGATACTAATTCAGAAAGATTGGGGTCAAGAGAATTGTCTTGACCATGGAGCAAAACACCCCATATATTACTACTCAGCCGTTCCAGTGCGTAACAATCCGGCATCTTTCACTAAGCCCTATTAGCCTGGTTATATATTGTCAAACAGGGTGTGTGGGGTTGTAAAGCCAGTCATAGCAAGCCATGGCGCAGGGGGCCTCGCGGAATTTATTGGCATAAGCACTAATTGCCATGCATGGCTGGTTAAACCATACGAAAACTCGATGACGAAGGGGCAAGGGCCGTTAAACGAGCGTCCCCATCACAGTGACGAAGCCAAATTGGAATAGACCTGAGTAGGAACTGATTCCTTTGGTTCCACCGAGGATTAATAAAGATACCGAAAGTACTACTTCGTACAAAAGTAGCAAAATGAAAAGAAGCGGCCTATCACATTTCATTTGTTCAAGCGCACCGTCCGCAAGATAGAAAAGTAACTTGATCATTAGTGTATGCTTTATTCGCACTAGTTGAAATTATAACGCGGCATATGGGGCTAGACTGCGTTGCATTCTTCCTGCACCGCCATCCTTCAGCAACAAGAATATTCGCTGGCTCGGCAACTCCACGCAACTTGGAATATTTATAGATTAGATTTATTCTCGCTCTTGCGATATTAGTAGACCATTACTACATTAGATGATTCTCCTATGTCTCTATTGACGCCATTTCAAAGTATATAATTCTCTCTGCGTCTTTGGGTTTATCCATAGTCTTTCTTTCCCGTTAAGTCTATTCCTCATACAGTCGCGGTTGACTTGACTTGACTATGCGCAAGCTTTCTTCGATAGGTGCTTGGCTCGTTGCTAGTGGTGCTGCCCAAGTGCAAGCCGGCAGCAGTTTTGAACCGGCCAATTTCAACGTCACTGCAGCATTGAAAGGCTATGGCGTTGATACATCCAGTATACCTGCTCTAGCAAACCTGTCGCAGCGATGGACAGAATCATCTTGTCTCGCAGCCGTAGGTTTCTAGCCATAAGAACACCTGTTCCTACGTAACCCGGCGTATCTGACGTGGTAATAGTGCGGTAGCCTCGACTCCATCTTTGGCTCCGAGAAAGTCCTAGCTCCAAAAAACGCCGGCTATACCAGTTTCACGGGCGCTTTTTGGTCTGAGCAACAGGCGGAAGTTCGTCCGTCTTGCATTTTCAAGCCTGGCGTCAACACGGATGTTGCCATAGTTGTGTTGTTATCTCAGCTAACCAGGTGTCCGTTCGCGGCCAAGAGCGGCGGCCACGCCGCCTTCCGGGGTGCGTCGAGCAGCCCTGGAGGAATCACCATCTGGTTCACCGACTTGAATGACCTGAGCCTGAATGAAGACCGTTCGATTGTATCCCTTGGGCCAGGGAACCTCTGGGGCCAAGTTTACAAGGCCCTCGAACCGTACGGGTTAGCTGCTGTCGGCGGTCGGGAGAGTAGCATTGGTGTGGGTGGTTTTGTCACTGGGGGTGGCATTTCATTTCATTCCAACCTGTATGGTTGGGCTTTGGATAACGTGGAGAGTTTTGAGGTGAGATCCTCAGTTTTTTTTTTTTTTTTTTTTTTGTTGGCTCTTGCAGGTGAACAGCGCATACTTATAACTTATAGGTCGTGACAGCCAGCGGCCGTATTGTGACTGCTAACACCACTCATTTTCCCGACCTTTACTGGGCTCTCCGCGGTGGAGGAAATAACCTTGGCCTCGTTACCAAGTTCAACTTGTATACAATCCCAAGTTCGACAATGCGCGGGACTACGCGCGCCTTTGAGGGGGCCCGAGTCCCGGAGGTCGTCAGTGCTTTCGCAAATGTCGCCCGCGGCGCGACATTCGACGGCAACGCCCAGCAATACGTGGCATTCATCCGCATGCAAGGAGTAACTCTCGCATCTGCAGAGCTCTCGTATGCGCTCAACAAGACCGACCCGCTCATCTTTAAGCCATACAGAGACATTCCTGCATTGGCCGACACGACCGAGTCCAGGAGTCTCGTGCAGTACTGCGATTATATCAACAGCCTAAATCCTAACGGACACCGGGAGGTGTACTGGGCAATTGCGACGCAGCTGGATGAATCATTCGCCCGCTGGGCGGCTGAATACTTCTTTGAGGTCTTACCGCAAACCGACAACATCTCGGGTGCGAATCCCGTAATAGTTTATCAGGCACTGACGGAGCCGATGCTGGCCAACATGACCAAGTTTGGTGGTAATGCGCTGGGTTTGGATGCATCGCAAGGGCCGCTGATTCTATTCGACATGGCCTTCTGGTGGGATAACGCGGCCGATGATAATGCCGTCTACACTTTCATTCACGACTTCTACAAAGTCGTCACCGACGAAGCAAAGAAGCGTGGGATTGCCCATCAGTTTATCTATATGAACTATGGCAGTCAGTTCCAGGATGTCATTGCTGGATATGGTGCAGATAACAAAGCCCGCCTGCAGAAAGTAGCAGCAACATACGATCCTCGAGGCATCTACCAAACACTGCAGCCAGGATATTTCAAATTAAACGGAGCACCTGTCCAATACTAATCCTAACTTTGAGCGCTCGCTATCCTGTTCACTATGTGTATTATTCTATCCAAGAACAATGTAATTAGAATGGTGGACGGCGTCATAAGCATGAAGATCAATAGATATCCAAGTGCCAAGTGCAAGAAAAACAACTTTCAAGCCTTGCGTACTTATCATGTAGGCTGTGTCACCCAGAGACATAAGGAGGATAAAAGGAATCACGCAATGCACAGTTACAGCATTATGTATTCTGTTCACAATCGGAGAGGTCTTTGAGCTCACTGGTCGATAGCTTGATGTTGCAATGTCGCAGTAGTAGGTCGGTGGGCTTTTTGTAGGTATCCATTGCTCTTTACTGCTCTTTGACCACTATTGTCTTAGGGTAGGGTTTAACCCCATCTGTTCAATACAGCTGAGCTCCAAGTATAGATTCCACTTTCTCTCAGTATAGCGTTTGCCTGATCCTTCTTTTTTTAACTCCTTCCCTTTCTCTTACTTCTTTATCCAGGGTTTGCCCCCGTGATATTATCTAGTTGAAAATCTAGAGTCTTTGTGATCAAATGCTGGCAATAATATACTTATTCATGTACAATAAAGGCGTGTAATGTTGAGATTTCTATAAGCCAACACAGTCTGAGCTTTCTTAGGCGATGTAACACCACTCTGATCTGTCTCGTTGTCTGCCTTGTGCTTATCTTGGGGATTTCATACGATTATTTATACCCCTTTGCGTTTTTTACGGGAAACAAAGAAAATAGCCTTCATTTGCCTACATACCTGTGTCAACTCCATGTTACACTTATCAACCCCCACTTCTTTCTAGCCATGCGAAGCATATTCTGGATGAGTGGTAGATTTCATCATTATTCCCTCTGCTATGCTATAGATATGTGGTGGCAAAATAAACAATGTTCAAACGAGCTGGTTGCACAAGTCTACCAAATGAAGACGCCTTGCACAAAGCGGTTTTCTCTGGTCTTTTGATCCTCGAGTGAAGGTATTATTTTTAGAACAACGACTTTATTCGCTCCTAAATGCGGGCTTCTCGGGCTTTTCGCTTGCTATTCATAGGGCAGGGTAGCATTCACTACCACCAGATCTCATGCTGTTCCGGAAGATCTTACATATAAGAATACCTACTTTCCCCCTTGATGAACACCAGATTATCAGACCAATCCCACTTCATTTCCGTTTTCCTATACTTGTATCAGAGTACCCTCTACACCAGTATTGCATACATTCTCATCCCTTTACTGGTGATCACTCTACAGTACGAAGCTCGTCATGACTAAAAAGGGGAGCGAGGAGCCTACGGGCTCTGACACCAAGCAAGCTGAAGTATGGCGGTCCTACTTAACATCTGGTTTTCTCAGTTGGCCCTTTTGGCCGTACTCATTCTTCAGTCGTGGTCAAAGAACTGATGTTGGGGCATCGCAGGAAGATACCATTGCAGCCCCCGAGACTGCTCAACCTCCGACTGCCCCAGAAGTAGAGCATCGGGGGGTCAGCGAAGCGCCTAGCGCCCAGGAAGAGAAATCGCAGGTGGTAGGATGGCTTACTATTCACCTTGTTTAATGTTCATTATATTAATGAAAGTCACGGCTCAAGAAAAGAAGACGATCTGCGAGACTGAACAAAAGAAGCGTCTCTCCTACAGCGGAAACCCCCGCGACTCCGCCATCTCCACCTAAAAAGAGCAAAGTCGAAGCAGGAGAAGCTTTGAGCCCTGCGCCGCAGTCTTCTATTCCTGAGGAAGTCCCAGCCCAGTCTCAAGGAGAAGATGCCGATAAGGCCCCGTCATGCGATGAAGACCAGCCACAACATCCTGATGCTACCGGTGAGAAGAGCCCATCGCATGATAAAGACCAGATGCAGTATCCTGATCCTGCCGATTGTCCTGGGTATTACTTACGTGGGGCTACGTGGCTGCCCTACAATGATGATGAGATTCACAAGAAACTCAGCGTCATCCAGGAACGTCTGCAGGAATGGTCAGTGGAGTGGGCAACTCTGGAAAAGCAACTTTCCGACGAAGAAAAGCAAAAGATAATTGCCGGGCTGGAGGGATATTGTCTGCAAGATGACTGGAACTCGTTGGTTAAGAGATTACCGTCCAATATTTCTGAACTCCTCCCCCTCATTCTCAGCCAGGCTTTAGTGGCTAAGGACTTATTTGAGAATGTGATAGAAGATCCATTTTTCTATCTCAATGGAAATGAGGATGGTTTACAGGTGACTGGCGAGCACGGCCAAGTTTTTATCCCTTCCCATGCCGAGCTCCATAACCTATGGCAATGGTGTAAACAAGGTATGTTATATTATCTAAACCAAAGATACATTCATACGCTAACTTTAGTATAGTTGAACCTGCCGGCGAAAGAGAGAGGTGGAATTCAAGAAAGTGGCTCCAGATAACAGTGCGCTTTCTGAATGCATTTACGCCAGAAACCACGTTTGACCCATTGCTTGCGATGCGTATGAAGCGCTTGAGAGACTCTACGCTAGAACGACTGGTGTCCAATCTCCTCGATGAGTCTGCTTTGTTGCATCCATTGCTCAAAACAGTATTTAACTCGGCCAAAGATAGGCGATACCAGGAGCTTCTCCATGTCTATCAAATCGCCGCCGACCTTTGCATTGGAATGTGGGCTAATGAGATGGACTTCGAATTTGGCTCTTTTGATTCATTGGGGAATTTCCACGAGGACATTCCACACATGGAAAAGCACTGTTATGCTGAACATGAAACAGAGGAAAAGTTTGACTCTGCCGATAGTGGACGAGCTGTCATATTCATGTTGCAGCCCACTGTGACTCGATACTGTCGGTATGATGGGGAAGATGACCAGTCATTAATCCATCGGGCTGTTATTATTTTTTCCAATGACGCTGCATAGTGTTTTTTACTGTGTACCTTTTCGTTGGCTGTATATGAGTTCGCTGAAGATTCACTTCCATGTTACCCTGCATTTCTATAACTATGCTGAATAAAAGATTCATTTGACTATGGGCCTTGCACGTACAGATTTAGTTCAGACCAAGGCCATTCTACCTCTCTGAATATGTGTAGACGTTATATGTATATAGTAGCAAGTAACAACACGATTTACCAGACATAGAGCCATCCAACTCTACACACTATGTCCACTTTCTTGCTCAACTGCCTCACGCAGAAGACTCCGAAACTCCGCCAGCTCCTGCTCAGAGATTGGATAAGTATAATCCCCCGAAGGAAAAGCCCTACCTTTAACATCCTTCTTAAACTCCTCGATACCCCGAATGGACTGCCCCCAAACATCCGCATAAGTCTTCACAAACTTGGGCATAAACCTCCCCGGGGGGAAATTACCCACCATATCCTCCTGTACCAGCACCTGTCCAGAACAGCCAACCCCAGCTCCAATCCCGATCGTCGGAACACGAAGCCTCTCCGTAATCAAAGCAGCAACCTCCCCAGGAACAGCCTCAATTAGAACCATAAACGCCCCGGCTTCCTGCACAGCAAGTGCATCCCGCAATACCTTGACTGCGCCCACGACGGACTTGCCCTGGACTCTGAATCCACCAATGGAATGATGTCGTTGCGGCGTCAGTCCAATATGTGCCAGGACGGGGATCCCAGCTTGGGTGATTCGGCGGATGGCGGGTGCCATTTCCTCTCCACACTCTAGTTTCACGGCTTTCATGCCGCCTTCTTTGATCATGCGGATGGCCGATTGGAGTGCTTGTTCGGGGGATAGTTCGTAGGAGCCCATCGGGAGGTCTACTATCTGTTTGGTGATGAGAGGCATTAGAGATCTGTTTGGTGGTTGGATAAACGTGACCGGTATGAGCCAAAGTAGAACTAACAGTGAAGGCATGTTTAACAGCACGAGACACGCTTCGGCAATGAAGTAGCATATCTTCCATCGTCACTTCGGTTGTATCCTCCATCCCTAACGCGACCATGCTCAGGCTATCTCCGACGATAACCACATCCATCCCCGCGGCATCGGCTATATGTCCAGTTGGGTAATCGTGGGCTGTAAGTGCCGTGATGGGTTCGCCCTTTTTATAGAGGTTCTGGAGTGTTTTAACGGTTACATTCTTGCGGGAGTCCGATTGGGTCTTTCCCATGGGTGAGTAGGAACTGTATCGGACTAGGTAATTGTTGCGCGGAGGGAACCGTGGTAAGACACTGTAGCGAGGTCGCCACGAGGGCCTTACGCAGGTCAAGTAGGAGAATAAGGATTTTGTGGGCATTGTCTAGAGATAACGTTTAGAAGATGCTGAAACTGTGGAGAAAGTGCTGCGTCGTTAGGTTGTTAGACAAAGGGGCGGCTTGGTTGAGCAATATGGCAGAACAGTTTTCTGTCTGTTTAGCGAAAAGAAAAAGTTTGTACGTAGCAATAAGGGGTTTCTAAGAACGTTTTGTATTGACTTTCGTGGGTTTTCCCAAGTTGGCGTTCTGGTATATGCTGCGTACTCTCGAGTATCGCGAGAGATGTGGATTCAGGTGATACCCTATGTAGTAATACCCTATACCCTCCTATTTAGGTAGTTATTTGATTTGTTAGATGGTTAAATTAGAAGAGTCACCGCCGTTAATATATTAATTAATCTTATTTTAAAAAGTTTTTTTTTTTTTCTTTTTTTCTTTATGTTTCATATTGTGAGAGAGTGTGTTCATGCAGGCACACTTTCCACTAGACCAAAGGGTCACTATGATAATAGTCTTTACCGAGGTAATCAACATGGTGCAGGACCCACCGGCTAGTCAAACTGTTTTGGATACGCTTCAAAATCCACAGATCAGGTCAATCCGGGAATATCATCATGAATAACAAGGAATGTATGAGTTATCTCTTCTCGGGTTCAAAACCCTTGGATTAGATTCATTCCAAGCTATCATGGTCCTGAGCAAGATGGTTTTCGGCAGACCCCCTGAGTCGTGGCAAATTCTTCCACTGATGAAAGTCAAATATCATAGGGACAAATTTAGCTTTGGAGATATAATCGAAGCCCTACTACAGATGGCTTGACAGGTCGACAGTACGACATGAATTCGTTGATCTTCTGAAGGAACACAAGCAAAACCAGCGGCAAGGAATGTGCCTACTATAACCCCGATATCCACATCAAAACTATATGAGGCTTATTGGAATGTTCTCGTTTGGTAATCCATACACATGGCTTTGGATATCTTCTGCACAGTCATGTGCTCTGTGTCCTTGCACTAACCCCTTGGGAATTATTGTGCTACTAGACGTGAAAACGGCAAATGCTATAGCATTAGATGAAAGCCTTAGGAAGCTAAATCGACATTGGCAAATCAGATGACAGTAAAGGCACAGAAGTCAGTTGGAATGTTTATGCGGCCATGGATTGAGAATATCGTGTCAAGGCTTCAGTCGTGACCAATTGTTTCTCCACGTGGCCTAACGCCTGACGAATATCGATAGAACATAAGTAGCGCCAGCTATTAAGATTCTGGTCAAGGCAGCAATGACCCATTTGGATATCTGCATTGTTGAGGCAAAAACATGTCACCGGTTTCTACTCCATTCCTTAACAAATGACGTGCAATCGACTGTGATTCTTGTTCTGCTTCTTGCTACGTCAAATTACCATCTCAAGCATTGATGGCAATCGCATCAGGGAATCTGCCGACAAACTACCTTGATGAATCTCAACAATCATAGTAATATGATGTGACCAACGGGCAGAATCTCCTTGACCTTCTCATTGTCGCTAGCCCCATATCATGGTATCACATGCTATCCCCTGAGTCTCACCCTACAAAGAAAATTGGATGCTGCAAGTTTCTCCTAGCGCAGAGGAGAGAAGCTAAAAAGTGAGGTGTCTATGGTGATGCGGAGCCTTCGACATCCAGTTGAACGTAAGCGACTTCCTCGTTGTTACAGACTCGCGAGAAGCACGCATTGTCTGATCCGATATATTCATGAAGAATGACTGCCCAAAATACCTCAGTGGCCTCAACTGGAGATGCATTCTATAAAAAGAGTGAAATTGCACTTCTGAGAATGACATCTGCCAATGGTAGAGACTTCAGTCCACCTGGTCGTCGTTTTCCTTCGACGTATGTCCAAAGAGTAAGAGACAAACTCTTGACTGTGTCATCATCTATTGTAATTTCCTTGTGTGATTTATAAACATATGCACGACTCTGCTCTGCAAAGTACCACCACTATATGCTGTCCATTTTAATCACAAAATGCTCCGAAAATACTCTATAGGATTTAATTACAAAAGGCATTACGAAGTTGCTGCGGGGAAGGAGGTCAGCTGAAAAAAAGAACCCCACAGTTCAGCTCTGCCAACTCATCTACGTCCAGTAAGTACTGACAGTTAAAGATGAGCAAACCAGATTTACATTTCAAGTGGTTTGAAGGTGTAATCCAATTTCTAAGGTCGAGCCTTTTATTGTACGTTCCTTTCAAGCCGTGTTTTCCCGAGCTACAGGCAGTTCAAATATAAATAGATTCTCCAAAAGACCCTCATTATCTCCAAATTAATTCATACACATCTCATATTCCTCAAAATGAGTTACTCAGCTAACACCCCCTCTATCCAAGCTGACAATGAATGGTCACCCCTTAAGGCCGTGATCGTTGGCCGTGCTGGCCGTGCTTGCTTCCCGGCCGGCGCACCAGCCATGATTGAAGCCACGATGCCTTCGGAGCACGTCCACCGTTTCAAACCGAGATCAATATTCCCTGACGATATTATTGCAAAGGCTGAAGCCGAATTGGACTTCTTCGCAGCTATTCTCAAGGCAGAGGGAATCCAAGTATACCGACCAAAAGCTGGTATTGATTGGCTTGCCGAGGAAGGCTACACTGGAGCAATGCCTCGAGACGGACTGATGAGCGTTGGAAACGTACTTATTGAGGCTTGCTTTGCGTGGGATTGTCGGTCTCGCGAGATCGAACTAGCCTATGGAGAGGTATTGGAGGAGCTTGGTAAGGATGACCGGGTTACGATCGTTCGTCGACCAGCTGAGTCCTTTGCCAACACCTTGCTGGATGGCGAGCCATCCGCACCTTGGATCATCAATGAGAGCCGGCCTGCATTTGATGTCGCAGATTTCATGCGATTCGGCAAAGTCATTATTGGCCAGTACAGCCATGTCACCAACAAGGCTGGGGTCAACTATATCCAGAGCCACCTGCCCCAAGGATATCGAATCGAGATGCTCGAGGTGAATGATCCCAATGCAATGCATATCGATGCCACCATTTTACCCCTCCGTGAGGGCCTGATGGTGTATCACCCCAAGAAAGTGACGGAGGCAGCTCTTCGTGCGCACAAGGTTCTTGCAGACTGGAACCTGGTCGCCTATCCCTTCATCCCGCAAGGTCCGGGACCAGAAGACCCTCCCCTTTACATGACGAGCCCGTGGCTATCACTTAATGCGCTTGTGTTGGATGGCGAGCGGGTGGTGGTGGAGGCAAGTGACGAACAAACGGCAGCATTCTATGAGGAGTTGGGCATGCAGTGTATCCGGTGCCCTTTTAAGCATGTTAACAGCATTGGCGGCTCTTTCCACTGTGCCACAGTTGATCTAGTAAGATCCTAAATCTGGCCTTCTTTCTTTGTCGAAATAAAACAAGGAACTTTCATATACACTTACGACTGGCTATTTTGTACAAGAACCGACAACCTATACATTCATAAATGCAACTATTTCTAATATATCTTACCCTCCACATAATTACAAAGCTTCTGATTGCTTGGAGAACTCGTCCAACGTATATATATAGCCCCGTAGGTGATTCTTTAACTGTTAAGCGAGTAAATCACAACGTGAAGCACGCCACAACCTTATTCCTGCCGTCCCTCCATCTTTCTCATCTTGGTCCAAAGGTCTGCGCCCTTCACTCGCGCTCCAGCGAGATGCAAATAGGACACACTACCATAGACACCTGTCTTTTCGGTGTATGAGAATGCAAAGCATGATTGCAGATGATATAGGAGAAATTAAGATGGCTATACTGCACCTCCAAGCTATAGTTCGCCCATTCCATCAAATGTCCAAGGACAGGTGCCCCGTTATGCCACCAAGTCTCACGGTCTTTTGGCATTGAAATCCAACATCTCGGTCAGGACTCCATAAGGGGTTTTCTGTTCAACCTTGGAGGGAACGACTGCTCTCGAGTAGTGGGCTATGAATTCAAACCAAATCACGGTTCAGCAAGGTATAGCAAAGATAATGCCGGCTCTGGGTAGATCATATTGTTCAGATGGTTTATAAGCATCTTTGAGCTAATTTCCCTTTCCCCACTCTTATAAGTTGACCAAGTATGCTTAGTCTTCTGTTAATAAATGAGGGGGTAACTCATCCGAGCCGATAACCCTGTGAAAATGCTAGAAGTTCGGCTGTTGATATTCGCGACGCAAATTAAATCATAATTCATAACAAACCACCAGCAGTTCGACGACATGGGTGTGAGTGTTGGTCTTCAGCTGGAAAATCTCGGATTCATGATCATCTAAGGCGGGGTTAGAAAGTTGATCCTTGATTTATACATGGACAATCGAGTTTACCCCCCTACGGGATTTACGAAAGCCATGATCACAGCCTGATATATATATTGACTATCATTGGTCAGTCTCGTAAAAATCACGAAATGACTTGGCTCAGCGAACAGCTTGGTATTGTAAAATATCGTTTGCCTTTGTAGATCTGCAGGTCAGAGGGGTTCGAGTATCTTGAGGTTCGTATATGTTCTCATCACTGCATGTTGACCCACTGCTCCAAACTTTCTCAAGATATTGTGATTGACATTTCTCCACTATTCTTTTCAGCTCAACCAGCTCAGCAAGGCTGGAAAGTCAAGCGCTAATAAGAAATCAAGAGATGTGTGTAAAATGGCGACCATATATCCGGCAGACACCGATACATGAACAATACTAATAGTTTACGGGGTCAATTGGAGGCCAACGATGTGACCCTAGCTGTGATGAGGTTAACCCTTCACGCCCTTATCCATGCCCTCTTCCAACGAGAAGAGCTATGCCTGATTTTCAAACCCATCTTCCACTTAGATGTATATGTATACCCCCAATACATCACAGTTTCACCACTGCATACTCCCGAGTATCGCGAGAGGGGTGGATCAGTTAGACCCATTGCAGTACACGAGTCGACATCGAGAATGTATTCATATCTAAGTGGCTAGGGAAAATTATTTCGTTCTTCGCATGAATGTATAAAGCTGTGGATACAACTTCTACAATGATCTCTACTGGGATTCGCCATCACGAGGCTTGACGGCGCATGGTATAAAGCGGTGGAGTTCACCATCATGGTTCAGGATTTAGTGGCTACTCTAGCTGTGTGCACTTATAGACGAACGACAGACTAGCCTCAAAACTAATGTTCACTTAACTATATTTTCGACTCAGGAAAAGTGTCATTTTTCAGCCATCATGAGGTCCCCACCACTGGAGAAACGGACTATAATACAGAGCTATCTTTGGAAGGCCAAGCATTTCAGGAACTTTTGATGGTCCTTTGATGAAGACATATTTCAGAAACCAAGGAGCCATAATAACCTCTTAAAGGCATGCTTCAGTCTTCTAGTACCTTCAGAATCTATAGCCTTCTAGGGAAAACAAGGAGAGTCATTGCTGACCCTGCAGCGTAATGTGAGGTAGCAAGATGCCATAAAACCCTCTACGTTGTGAGACTTGAGGCATATCACCTAACCCCCCTTGCCAAGTGATGTAGCGGTCAATATAAACAGGTATATTCCATCTTATCAAAGCTTTTTGAACGGTTGTGCATCAGTTTTGAGACGAATGAACATGGCCAGCACAGATGCGCTCAAGGCCATGCCTCCTGCATAAAATATGGCAGGACGATAGGCACTAATACCACCTTCCTCTCCGCCAGACGCATTTAATATATAGCCAGCAATTGGAGCGCCCTGTGTGGCACCGTTAGCCCATGGAAAGGGGATGGATATGGGGTGTATAGCTGAAACAACAGTTGGGGAAGGGAAGCCTACCATCAGATAACCTCCAGCCCAGCTAGTCACGATCATACCCATGGCAACAGATACCCGAGCGGAACCAAATACATTTCCAACGACCGTGGGCATAGTCGAAAAGAACCCGCCATTAGCCATTCCATTAATAATGACGAAAACAATCAACGGCCCGATGGACGTCGAAACAGGCCAGAGAATAAGCATGCTGAGGGCACTGAGCAAAAGAGACATGAACAGGGTGTTTAGCGGTCCCAGCCGGTCACTACAGAATCCGCACATCAGCCTTCCCACCGCGGAGGAGAAGTTGAATGCAGCCACCATTCCTGCACCCACTCCCGAGGTCATCCCCATCGATTCTGTGTACAACGGAAGGAAAAACGGGGGGACAAAAAGCGGAAAAGTTGCGATTGCGCCGGCTGCGAACAGCAAAGCAAATCGAATGTCACGGAAGAGTCGCCTGCAAGAGAATTAGAAACGGAGTCATGCATTAGGCAAAGTCTAAAAACTTTGAGGGGGAACATGCCACTCAACAAACTCCGTGCGTTGGATTGGCACCCGTTCTTTGATAAAGCACGCTGCTGGCAGGCCCGTACCCCAGATCATGAAACCAATGATCCGGAAGGTCCACGCTATTCCCACCTTACCAAGCAAGGCATTCATGATAAAACTAATGACGGTACCCCCGAGGCCACCCCCGGCATAAACGATCCCATTAGCGATACCGCGCTTTGCTCTGAAATACTGCGCAGGGATTGCAGAGACGACCATAAAACAGATACTATCACGGTTTAGCTCGATGGTTAATACGATGAGCAGAAAATGACTTGCTTACCTGATTCCGAGGCCGAAGAGAACACCGGCAGTCGCAAACAAGCCACCCACATTCTTGGTGGCAAAGCCACTGAGAACCTCTCCCAGGCCGAGCAAGAAGATACCGAGTAGGGCCGAAATCCTAGTGCCTAATCTCCGGATGACATTCGCATTGATTATTCCCAGAAAGGAAATACATGCCGTGGCAACCGAGCCTATGAAAGCCAGAGTAGAAGACGACGATAGCCCTTCCTTAACCAAAGCCGCTTGCAGGACACCCCAGCAATAGGAGGTTCCAATGAACCACCAGGTAACTACTGCGCATGCAGAAATGACTACCCACCCGTAGCCCCCATCAGGGACCTCAGCATCAGCTGCCAGTGAGGCCTGCAATATCTCATCTGAATTCCCCGGTGGTGTCGGATCGCCAGTATGTTTAGTAAGTCTCCCTCCAACCTGATTGCGCTCCTGCAACTCGACTGCTGTAGACACTGACTGAGTGATTGTCGCCATTGCTCCGATGCCGTGAATCCTTCAGGGACTGGCTGGATTACTTTAACGGCTTAACTGACGCGTATACTGGGTGGAGAAGCCAACGAGAGGTATTGTACGATGTAAGAAGCAACAGAGGAAAAAAATCTAATTTTCTTCGCCCAGGATAGATCCGCTCATTAAGGTCTCGGTCGAGATCAACTTGCAAAGCCCGAACCACACCGGATTAGTCATAAAGTTGAACTTGAGCAAAATTGGGCGGGAAAAAAAAGCGATGATATGTCGATGGTGTCGAGTGGTATTGGCTCTTCGTTATCCTACCAAACCATCGGCGGGATGACTCAAGTCCACCTACAACATCTGAGCTAGCTGAAGGGTTTCGCCGAGAGGATCACCGTGAATGTGGAGACTCTTTCAATGACACAGGGCGCGGTCTAGTCATGGGGTCAGGCGGTCAAGACAAAAAAAACCACTCTACCGCCTGCCACTTCTAGATTACGCTGGATTAGTCATGTCGGTTCAGAAACCTGAATGGTCAATTATACTACATAGCTCTGGCAAAAAATTAGTATCATCCGTTAGATCTGCTCCATGGTCAACGCTCTACGGACCAACCAGAGTAGGCAACCGAACACCTGTGGAACCAAAAGACCCGTCAATTAAAGGGCGTGAAAAGACCACGGAATCAGTCTTATGTTGTATTAGCTGGCTGCTGTTGAGTTTTCTTTTCAAAACTTTCGTGGCTACCACCCAGCGATCCAAGAATATCGTGACATTGTTTAACCACACACTGCGTAAGTCCTGTGCTTCAATTCTGTTCAACGAGTTCTGATCGAGAAAAGGACCGGTTGTTATACGTAGTATCTTCCAGCCTCTCCATGCTCGGATGGAGCACGCTCACAGCGATGCTCCCAAATACTGCGAAGACGTTTTATCGCTCCCACCTCTAAGCTCGGACGATGTCCTGGCTAGTGATACAGATTACAGACTGTTTCAAGAAGACATAGTCGCGCATTCTGAGCGGCCTTCAAGTCATGCCTCATTCGACGAGCTACAGCCTGAGGCGTCATCTCATAGATCAAGTATACAAGCACAGCTACCGATGGGGCTGTTTGGGTCTTATGGGGATTTAAATCATCGCTACCAAGACCTCTTGAGTGGGGATTTCCTTGACTTGCCGACGTTCGATTATTCTGGGCTCTCTGAAAGAATAGGTTCAGATGTAATATCTGAAAGATATCCACACATAAGCTCGTCATGTGAGAGCCTTCAACAAGAGCCTACCGTCAGTACGAACATAGTGTACAGCAGCAGAAGACGGACTAGGAGAAAGAACCGACGATTTTCCACTACTGCAGTGAGTATATTGCTATCATGGCTCGACCAACACCAGGACTATCCGTATCCTACCGAGCAAGAAAAGGAGCAGCTGGGGCATGGGACGGGTTTAGATGTAACTCAGATATCGAACTGGTTCACCAATGCACGTCGCCGCAGAATAGCCGGTAGTGAACCTACAACACAGGCACACCTCGCCGACAATTATCTGCTATCACCTCTTGAGCGCTGGCAGAACTCGCCCCCGGAAAGCGAACCTGCTGCGACATCCGACATCCTGCGAGCCTTGGAAGATATTCCATATACTTCCGATGCCGGCGTCACATATCCGGCTCATAGGGATGCTGTGTCGAGCAACAGCTCAAGCGCTTCGTTCGTTGTAGGGGCTCCTTCGATCAGCAGCTACGAACACAGTCAGTCTTCTGGCTCTGACATCTCGTTCAATCGGTCGAATCGAACTTCGCAAAGACCACCCACCCCTAGTATTAATACAAGACCCCGTCGTCGACGCCGGAAGCCTACACACCCGAACGAGGCCTGGAACAAACGGAAGTCGAAGGGTCAACGACCGTATCAATGCACGTTCTGTTCCGATACCTTCAATACTAAGTACGACTGGCAGCGACATGAGAAGGCGCTACACTTACCGGTGGATCGATGGATTTGCGCACCTCAAGGCGGGCTCATCGAAGTGGATGGTACCCACATCTGTGTATTTTGCCAGGCCCCAGACGTGGACTTCAATCATCTCGAAATTCATGGCTACCTCGCCTGTCGAGAGAAATCATCAGAGCAACGAACATTTACTCGAAAGGATCATCTTCGACAGCACCTTAGGCTGACCCACAATGTCGACTATCATCCTTCGATGGAACAGTGGCGAGACTCTCTAACGGTCATTAAGTCTCGTTGTGGATTCTGCGAAGCAAGATTTGAGACATGGCCGGAAAGGGTAGATCATGTCGCAGACCACTTCAAGAAGGGTGCGGATATGATCCAATGGAAGGGTTGCTGGGGGTTCGAGCCTCATGTTACCAAATTAGTGGAAAATGCCATGCCTCCCTACCTTGTAGGGCATGAGCGGCAAACGATGGACCCATGGAAAACAACCGATGCTCTTGCTACGGGGGCCAACGAAGTCCTGCCTTTCATCAATGATGTTCCCAATGCCCTAAGCCGCTATGTTAATCTCAGACGCGATCTTATCGTTTATATACGTGAGCAGGCCGCCGTGGGTAATGATGTTACTGACGAGATGGTTCAAGACAAAGCTCGTGAGATAGCATACGGAAGCAATGACCCTTTTGATCAGACATATGCCGATAATCCTAAATGGATTGCAAGCTTGAGACAGGAAGCGGGACTAATGTCGCTACCCGCATCGAACTGTCTCTTTCCATATTGCGACGATCCACCCCCTCAGGGTCCAGCTGCGAGAAATGATGTGTCACAGCCACCACTTTCTGAATTTGGCCTAATGTGGGATAGCCTTTTATGGCCTGAAGACACATCGCTAGCTAAGTGATAAAAGAGTGTCATGTTCCATGTACTGTGACAGTACAAATAGATGTCCGGATGGACGTATGAACTTATGTGCGTGCAAAATCTGGACGCCTGGAAGAAGCAGAATTGCTTTTGAGTGCTGATGAGATAAATTAGCATCCCAATATGTCTGATACAAAGGTATAAGTTAAGCCAAGTTTCAAGGACCTGTGGAATTGACGCCAAAAAATGACCCCTAGTAGCACTGTTTGCAACAATACGGGTCGGGAAGAGTTGCAGAGATGTTACTTAGCTTTACCAGGTTAGAGACTTCGTCATGAAAGGAGATTGTGCAGAAGGAAACAACAGTCGACTGGAATTGTATTATAATGTCTTTAGGGAATCATGCTTGCCGATATGCAAATACAAGGACAGAAGAAAAGGCACAGCGAATCGCTAGCGTTAAGAAACTTATGCTGCTCTTGGCTTTCCTCCACGCCCGCCGCGCCCGCCACGCCCTCCACCGCGACGTCCTCCACGATTCTTGGAGACCGAACCTCTACGGTCCCCTTGACCAGCCCCGGGACTTAATACATCACGAGTCTTGTTCCCAGGACGACCACGTGGTCTAGCAGGACGGTCCCCATTCAAATCATTTCCACTTGCATAATTGAAGCCAGGTACACCCTTCAAACCCATCTTGCCAACGATCTTTTTATCCATTGGTGGGGGTTCAGGACATCCCATGCCTTTTATGGCCAACTCATTCGCGAGTTGAACAAGGCCGGGTTTATCCATACGGAGCTGCTTCAGAAGACCCGATCCAGCAAAGAAACCTATGTAGGACGAGTAAGCGCGTTGCTTTGTGTCTTCACCAATGCTGTACATGGCCTGAGTGACGGCATTGGCGCACGAGGGAGCGCCCGCATTGATCGCGTCAGTCTGAGGATGAGGCTGAATGGGCAAGTGACGATTGACCTTCATGAAGAAAGACTCGGCTTCTGTGAGGAGGATGATAGCGCGGCCATCATTGCCAGCACGGGCTGTACGACCGACACGATGCACGTACTGTTCGCCATTTGATGGCAGACCGACCTGGATGACTAGGTCGACATTAGGGAAATCCATGCCACGACCAATAACATCCGAGGCGAACATGATTCCGGTTGCGGCCTCCTTGAATAGAGCCGTGGTTTTCGTCCGAGCGCTCTGGCTGAGCCTGGAATGAATTTCAAACACCTTCAGAGGAGTCAAGCCCTGAGAGAAGGCTGCGGCGAAAAGAGCAACCATGTTTGCAGTGACCCCGAAGACAATGATTTTAGAGCTGTTCTTGATTTCCAGATTGAGCAGGGAAACGAGTGTAGTAAAGGTGTCTGCCACGGACGGCATCAACACGTGGTACTGGGGTACTCTCTCATGCGTTGGCACTTCATTCTTCTCAATAGTCGAAATGCTCGTGTAACCTGGCTTCAACACAACACTGACCACATCCTTGACTTTGGGTGGAACAGTGGCTGAGAAGCACATACCTTGCCAGCCAGTGCTCTTTGGTGGAATTAGTTGGAGGATTCTCTTCACATCAGCTAGAAAGCCGCTCTCAAGCATCGTGTCGGCTTCGTCCAAAATCAATGTTTGAATGTTAGACAACTTTTCAGCAGTAGAGGGTTCGGACAGGTAATCTTTTAGTCGTCCCGGGGTTGCTACAAGGATGGACGGTTCCCCTTTCATAAAACGCGACAGGGCAGATGCCCGAGCCGTTCCACCCACTGCAATGTGGCACTCACGAGGCGTCGCGAGTTGCGATGTAAGCTGATCGCATGACTTTGCAATTTGCTGGGCAAGCTCTCGTGTCGGCGTAATGATCAAGATAGCGACCTGACCTCTTGGTGGTGCCGAATGACCTTGGAGTAAACAGTGTAACGTAGGTAGCAAAAAGGCGAGTGTTTTTCCTGTGCCAGTTTTGGCCTGGACCAGGCAGTCACTGCGCCAGTTTGGAAGCTCTGTTAAAACACGATGTTGGACAGGTGTCATGTACTCAAATCCCATCACATTGAGGGCTTGAAGGAGTTTAGAGTCCAGCTTCCCAGCCATGGTTGCGTACGGCTGGGCGCCATCGTTGTTTCCGGGCCCTTGCATACCGGTCGAGGCTCACTATCTCAGGAAACTTGCAAAATATTGCTTGAGGAAAATGCAAACACTTAGTGGCACTTGGGTGTTTCTAATGTTTGTTGATGATAAGATGTGAAGTTATCATTGATTGATACAATGCCAGACTCTCTGTAAGACTTGTGTTGGTATTTGGGTCAATTCTACTACCAATACAGCAATGCGGAAAGGATCCGCTTGGAGGAAGGTTGGAAAGTGAATTATTCAGCTTTTTAATGCCTATTGACCTTTGCACCTGGTCGATTGACTTCTGCAGATCGTCCAGAGTGAATGAATATAAATAAGGCAGTTGCAGAGCGCAGAGATTTCCAAAAAAAAAAAAAAAAAAAACACTCCTCAGGGCTTGTTGTTGAGCTATACCTAAATAGGTTAGACTAACCGCATAGGTATGGAAGAATCATTTAAACCATCACAACATGCAGTCGATTAACATACAGGATCACCCCTGATACTTTTTGACGTGTCGAATAATCTCTTCAACGTCCTTCCAAATTCGCCGGCGATTTTTCAAGCCTTTGAGCTCATCCCAATTCCGCGTAATCGCAGAGTAAACTTCATACCAATTTGTCTTTCCTCTCGGCAATTTTATTTGGTGCGGTACCGTTGGAGACCAAGGAGGAGCCATGATATCGAAGACCACCGGATCGAGCTCGCCTTTATCATACTCTTCTTCGAGTACTTCATTGTAGAGCTCCCGTGTGCTAAAAGTCTCCTTGATATCGTTCGCAGTGATCGTCGTCCAGATCGAAGGTGTGTGGTCACATTCATTTTCATCCCACGTTTCCCACAGCCAGGGCAGTTCTTCGCGGAGCAGACGATACCATAGGGATACCGGGAGTTGTCGGAACACTCTCGAAGCAAGTCTCAGACTCGCTATATCACGAGATCTAAGAAAATCAACCATCATGAGTTGTATATCATACGGCCATGATAAGAACGGATCGGTCGAGTCTTGCACCGGCACGACCGATATGGCATGGCGTTCGGTCACTTGAGACAAATCGAATGCACCATTGTGTGGGCTGAAATTTTCATCCTCTTTGATTGTGGCTAGGAGAATAGCAGGTAGCTTTGGGATATAGTCTGGATTCGCAGCCAGGTATTCATGCCCGACCGTGTGAAACCAGAGTTCCTGCTGGGCGTCTGTAACGTCGCCCACACGAGGAAACATGGGGAATTCCTCATATGAAAACTCTGCGTTCCGTCACTTCATCAGTCCGGCGAGATTGAGATGGTTGAATTTCCGCTTTGCTAGACGAGAATAAATGTCGAAGCACCGGGGATGGAAAGGCATGCCATAGAGGTCTGGGCCTGTATCATAATCCTAAAGGGGGGTAAGCATTGTGATATTATGATGTAAATACTGGCGTGCAACCATGGGGCTCCTGAACGAGAGGGGCTAGGAGCCATCTACGTAGTGACAGTGTTGTGGTATGTGTAAATGAGCGAACTGCAAGACTCACATGAGGGTTTATATTTTCAACTAGCGGCTTCGTCACTCCTCCTCTCGATGGAAAGAGCCTCGGAGAGCCGCCCCCGCGTGATGGCATTCCGTCGCGGACACCAGACAAGAAATAGTCCCCTGAGAGCTCCCAGTCTTGATCAAATCCGTCAGGGCCCCATCCAGCAGCGGCTTTCTTATTGATAAGGCACTGCACGGCTCGGCAGCCTCTCATTTCTTCGAGGGAGATTCTTCGCCCACTGTATGCATTCACCTGCCTGCATGTAGGACCGGGAATATGCTCCACCGGGTCCCATCTAGAGCTTTCGGGCACTTCGCCGTTCTCGGGCACTGGTGAGATGACATGCTCCTTCTCGGCTGGGCCTGTAATGCGAACAGGTTCTTCTCTAGGGGGGGTAAGTGGCAATAATGTTGAGCACCACTCACTATACCACTGATGGTCTACATCCTGTTCATGGTTTTCTTCCCCGTTGTCGTTCTGGGGATCATCAATATCGCCACTCTCGTAGTCAGAGTCATACTCGTAAGGCTCGTACATAGTCTCTTCCTCGGGAACATATTTGGGATCATCACGACGCTTATACTTTATTTTTATACTGCTGAGTCTTTCAGTTAAAACAGCAAAGCTACAACCTTGTTCAGCACACTCCGCCCAGTTGATTTCGTATGGCAGGCGCTCTCCATTATAGTCCCATTCAGCAGTATCTGGCTCGTCGGCCTTGCGGCTGCGAGCGATATTGAAGCTCACTCCACATAGATGACAATATATCTGGGAAGGTCTGTCAGCCAACGACGATCAGGGTTTAACTAAGAGGTGGCCATACCTCGGAGCGGCCTGGTCCTCCCAAGTTCCTATACATAGGAATTCCCATAGGGGTGAAGGACTGCATGACTGTGTCCTGTGCAGGGAGCGTGGTTTGTTCGATGCAACTTACAATGGGATTCAAGAGCTAATTTATTCTCAATCTTCCATACAGATCTCCATTTAATATCTTGTATTTTTCCTATTCTGGACTAGCGTAGGGCGTCAGCTCGTAAATCTATTAGTCCAGAGGCGCTGGCCACCTAGGTATGAATAGGCTGCTGCAGCCATCTGTTCGGCTTTATTCTGTTTTCATACTCAGCATCGTCACTTGCTACTCTGTAATTGTACGTTAGACGCTATCAAGCTCTAAGTATCAATGTAGTAAGGCATAGCTATAGGCTCAAGGGAGACTAAGAAAATATAAAGATACTTTTGCTACTAAGACAAGTAGCACTTAGGGCTACAATATATATAACCAACTATATATCTTCAGTCCTTAACAGACTGGCCACAACAAAATGCAAAAGCAAACTTAAAACCTACCTACACGTAATAAAGAGTGTTTGGAAATGTCATTGACTGAATAAAATATCTCTAAATATGATAATGAAGCGACTCTCTCAAGGATACTCGATTTCGAAATGGTCAACGAAAAACGATGGCTGCGGAATTACAATATTACTTGTTGGCTTATAGAGCAAAAAGAGAAGACCAAATCTCAACAAGCGGCCGGGTGGCGCAATGGTAGCGCGCTGCCTTCCGGTTCCGGAATGTGGCAGTGGTTGCGCGTTCGAGTCGCGTCTCGGTCGTTTCTTTTTTGTTTTTCTTCTTTCGTGGGTTCTTTTTTGCATGCCTCGTCGACGGAGAAAATCCGGTGAAAATTACTCCGTAGTTTCCCCCCTCCACCACGCTATTCCTTACCCTCGTGGAAGCATTCGTTCCGAATTCCAGCTCGTTTTCAGCAACCACCTCGAAACCTGATACATCGTGTCTGCCCGCGGTAGTTCTAACTACACCCGTAAGTCTGAAGTCATATCTGATCATCAAGCTCGCAGTATTTGATTCCAATGGGGCATAACAGGAAACCAAAACATAAATCCGGAGAAAGGATATAGAAGTATTACCTCGGTCGCCCCGATAGCGTCTACTAATCAAATAATAGCTAAGTATAAGTTAAGGTTCCGCAAGGAACCTTCCGTCGAAAAAGCCAAGATTCGTTTATTGGTTCGTAATGGCCCGATTGCTCGTCTAGAGCATGGCTAACACGATAATTTAGGATGCAAGACGCGTACCACTTGTTTCGTCCTGGATCAACCACCCCCCGGAAGAGGAAAATCGTAGCCGTTTAACGGACAGCCTTGCAGCATGCCCTCTTTTAGAAAGCCGAATTGAGAGATTAGCCTGTGCACACCATAGGAAGGAGGTAATGTTTGCTTCTTTAATACTGCATGCGACTCGATATACGGAGTATAGTAGTCATCTGATTGTGGACCACGGACGCTACTAGTAGTATTTACTCCGAGGCTTCGCAATATTTGGCCCGGGTGGGCAAGCCACAAACATCTGACAAAAGGTTGCATGAATGGAGTAGAGGAACACCGTTCGTGAGGCTGTGTCTGTAGGATTGATCCTCCTGCCTTGAGCGTGTAGATCTTGTATAGATATAGATATAACCTATGGAAAAACTGTGTATATGGTAGGTGGGGTTACAAATACTGTGTACGCCGTGTATCCTCAAATCTTGGCTGCAGAGGACCCATAACTGACTGAGGCTTGACCATGAGCATGAATCACGTTAGACTTTCCCCTGATTAGCTTATTCAGTGGAACATTCTACGGATTAGCCGATAATAAAAACCCCTACGAATTTCCGAAGTTCCCACACTTTCACCGTCTCATAGTCCTCCAGCAAGACTATGGTTTGGCAACGATCGCCACGGTGTCGGTGATGGATCGAGCTCCGAATCGACTCTTTTGACCACGTCACCGTCTTGGATTCTTAAAGTTTAATAAGGAGGTTTTGAAGTTCCTGATCTTTCAGTAGCCCACCCTCCAAATCCTTAGGAAGTTTTAGATCCCGAAGGACATTGGACCCCACGTGGCAAGGGACAACGTGAAGATAACCCTAAATCCTGTCTCCAACGCCTAGCGTCTAATTGATGTGGAATCGACCGGATTGCTTGAGAAACTCCGATGGGTGAATTTTAAGATGGTAAATTTAAATTGTCGCGAGTCTACTCGCTCTTCGTCGGATGCGATACTGTGATGATGTAGGTTTGGCCGAGGTTGAAGAATACACAAGAGGGGCTGTACCAGGCACGGGTTCAACCCGATAGCGTAAACTTGGATAGTGGGCCCTAGTTTAATCTATCTGATGTCTTTTATATATTCCAGGTATAGTGTAGGGTCCCTAAGTGCGTATGGCCCACAGTTCAAGAAACGGACGACAGGGTCTAAATGGGCATATCTGCGCTTGTTAACCCACATTAAGAAGCTAAACCGGACCCTGTCCGACTTTATTGCCGTCACATAAAGTCATGCAGCACCCACGTGCGGAGATCTATAAGGCTTGACTTTACTTGTGGAGCTAACTGCACTCTTCAGCTTAATGTGATGCTCTGTTGCCCAGAATGGTCACCATTCAGCCTGGGTCACAGCAAGACCTCCAGATTGGAAGCTATGTAACATTTGGGGTTGCCATGATTATGATTGGCATGAGGTGTGTGGTCTCTAGTGGGTGGGATGAGATGAACCAACATCACTAACGTAGCTGAGATGATTGCGTAGGTTATATGCGAGGCAGTTCTTGCTGGGCAAGCTTGGTCCCGACGACATCTTGATCATTTTAGCTTCGGTAAGCCTATCTTTAACTATTCATTTCTATTGGCTGATGATGCTTTATATTGGGATGTTGTAGCTTGTGTCGATCGGCGAGTTGGCAACCGTGCCGCCAATGTACGAATGCGGGATTGGCCGTCACCTTATGGAGTTGACCCCGAAACAGCACGAATGTACGCGAAAGGTCCGTTACTTTCAATGGCTTCAACTACTATACTTCGGACGTGACGTTAACTTTCATCTCAGTGGGCGTGGATATCGCAAGTTCTCTACTTTCTCAGTCTCGGGTACTATACATATCTCAACCCTCCATGCACAACCACAATCTTTGGCCCCGGCTTACGTTGACATGAACCGAATACTTAGGCTAGCGAAAGGTAGCATGGTCGCATTATATCTACGATTGGCTTCCAATACAACCCATATTAGGTTCCTTTACGGGGTTGGAGCGGTTATACTTAGTCATGGAGTTGCTGCGACTCTTGTACGTTCACACCAGTGTCGTTCGATAAACTCATCGATAAATATATTCGTCAACTAACACATTTAGGTGGCATCCTTTATCTGTGAACCTATATCCGTATTATGGAAACCCGAATTCCCCAAAGGATGCCTCGACATGATGAGCTTCAACTACTTCAACGGTGCATTCCACGTTACGACGGATATCTTACTGGCGCTACTCCCCATCCCAATCGTGAAGAAATTGCAAACGAACAATCGCCGCAAGAGTGAGCATGGAAATTTCTCCAAGATAGACGGGCAAGAATACTGAAAAAGAATAGTCGGCTTAATAATCGCCTTCGGCATTGGTATCCTAACCATCTGCGCATCGATCGCAAGACAGGTCACGACAGTGATCGCCCTAAGATCAAGAGACTTCCAATGGTTTGTCCACACTTGGATATCTCTTGCACATACCTGGCATTACCATCTCACATTTTCAATGTTACGTTTAGGAACTGGTCCGCTGCCGAACTCACCACCTGCCTCGAAATTAACATGTCTCTCATCTGTGCCTCGGTCCCGGCAATGCGATCCCTATTCAAAGTCTACTTCGGCAGCACCGGTCTCACGAATAGACGCGCCTATGAACACGAGCTCGATGATCGATACACAAAAGGAAGTGGTGCGCGACAGGCCTTAAATGATTTTAGTAATGTCGAGGAAACTCAACGACAAACCAGGACGAATACCGTTACCAGCAGACCAAGGTCTATGGACGGCTTTTCGGCAATCATGTACGGCGCTAAAGATGGGGTAGTTCAGACTACAGAGTTTCGGGTTTCGTATGGGAATCGGGCGTCTATGTGTTAGAGGGAATGGCTGTTTATGGAGTTATACAGGTGGGGTCGTTTGGATTTAGGTATTGTTTTTGGGACTTTTGAATTTTTGAGTGTGGTCTTTGATCCAATGAAAAGGGATACATTATAGAATGGGATAATTTGGTAATAGACAGGACCTATGAGTATTGTCTCGTAGAAGATTTAGCCCTCGGTTGGCGAAGGGTTTTTCCTGGTATAAAAGGAACATTACTGCAAGGAATGCGTTCCACCCGGTATATCTCTGCCTAAACCAATGGATATGTAGCGCTGGGACCCGAAATCGGGGGATTGAGGTTGCACCTAACAGCCAATCCATGTAGTTAATATATCCTAATATCGGAAACAAGCCAATGGGTCGCGCATATCGTCATATTAGGCGTAGTGCATGAGGGACAATGCCCGTCTAGTATGACAAACTCCCTAAATAATCATAACTATTGAGTATCAATTAATTATATACGCACTCTGTAGCATGAGTTGGCAAAGTAGGACGCCTGAGGTATTGGTTTAGGCCCGTAGCTAGGGCTCGGGGAATCAGTAGGGTTACCCACGGGTACCTCAACTCCGCACCATTGCATGGCCATCCATTCCTTCATCTTCCTATCAGAGCTTGCTACTGTAAATTTTTGTTTACTTTCTAATATCTATATAACTCACTCTAACGGTAATAATCAGGAGAATCATATACCAATCACATATTTTAATGGGAAGAATCATAGTGAGTCAGGTTTCTTGGTAATCTGACATGTAAGTTTCAAACTACGAAAACTATGGCACAAGAACAGCGCTCTAAACTTCGGCTTCTTCACAGCCCCCTATAATAGATTGGACCTAGATACAAGGTTGGTTGGTTGGGTTGATCCTCATTTACCCTGGCCCCTCGCGAACGATATGCAGATAGATTGAGGGTTTCTAAATATCCCGTACATGCATCACATCCGCACAGCCCATTTGAACCAGCGTCTGTTCGCCAAGCGACTGCGGCCGCCCATGCTGGGGGCCTAAATCATCGTAAAGGAGAGGAAACTTCTTCCAAGCCAACCACAGCCTACTCTGTATTTGAGGCCAGGAAACCGCCCTTGGCGCCAAGTGAATGAAAATAGAATTCTGCCTCGCTCAAGTGCACAAGCTGAAGATTCCTAATGTCTGGGTAATATTGACTATCAGATCGAGCTGTGTTTAAGCGACAATTCAACGCAACATATGCCTAAATCAGAAGTTCAGCTTCGCTCCAGTGATGTTGGGGATCACAAACCTGTGTATGGCTGAACATCTATAAAGTTGCGATGTACTGCCCCGCCAAAAAGTGGGTTTACGATTAATTTTTATCTTCAGCAGCCTTGCCCTCTCCTCTACCAATAGCACGTCTTGCTTATTTTCCATTTGACAAATCATCATGAAGTTCGCAACAACACTGGGCTGTGGTCTTCTTGCCTTTGCTGCTGGTACCGAAGCCTGTATTCGAGTCCACGCGTACCTCAGCAATGATATCGTCGTTGGTGACCGCATGGGCATTAAGATCTACGATAACTACGACCTCAAATGTTCCGATGGAGAAGCGAAACGGTTCGTCAGCGGAGAAACTAAATGGGAATTCAAATGTGGCGAAGACGATCGCTACGAAGTCCATCTTACTGAGGATGGTCACAAGGGCTATGTTTGGAACCACAACGCCGGATGGGAAGCAGACTTGATCTTGAAGGACTCTAAGCACACGTCCGAATGCCGGTATAAGACTGGGTTGAACGACCGGTGTGCTGGATATGTCTCGAGCGACGAGTCTGTGCTCTGGGACGGATTTAAGACCCTCGGACTTGGGAACTGCGATGATAAGCTGTTCAACACTGAGACATGCGGAGCGAATTGCGATATCTCCGAGAAGGACACTCCTTGTGGCGAGGACATTAATGGCCGTTGTGTGCCGATCATCTTCTGATATACTCTGTGTTTTGAAGCTTGAAAGCGATGGGGCTTTTCCTAATGGACGAGTGAGCGTTGAATTTGTGCTGGTAGTGGGATACATTGCATTTCTTAATAATACTATATTCACCATGAGGCTGAATCGTACCAACTTCCGTAATTTTGGGTACCTAAGTATAGCAAATACAAGATGTATTGATAATTCGAAATTACCTAGTTCATCTTGTCATCTACCACCAATATGTGTCTCTGAGCCGGGTCAGTCTCTCCAGTTGCCTCCAGACCCCGCCGCTTTTCATCGTGCCAAATGAAGTAAACCCGCTAGTAAAAATGCCTAGAACATTGCTATCTACCGAGTGTACCCAGCGTAGTATATAAAGAAAAGCACGTATTACCAGTGACCTGGCTATAATAACTTCTGTAGAGTAACGGAAGAAAAGATGAAAGAAAGGAAGGAGATGTGTTGCCTTGACCCCTAGGAATGTCTGTCTCTGGTGGACCTCAATACGACTACTACTGACTCAATCTGAGTCACACAAGAATAATAAACAAGAACCCACCTACTGGACGAAATGACTTTAGACGAAGAACTTTCCTCTTCGTCCGAGTTGCTGCCTGCTAGCGCAAAATTCGTCCGAATTGATCTTGTCTTCGGCTCGGACGAAAATAAACTTCGGACGAGGAAGGTTTCTGGCTGGAGCACGACGTTTGGCTCGGACGAAAACTGATACTTCAGCCAAAGCCTCACTCAGTCTGAGTCTGAAAAAGAAGATAATACCGCTGAATTGTATTAATCATAATTGAGGTCCACTGGCTGTGGGATGTGAATTTCTTTTTAGTGAAACTTATATAACTCAAAAAAATTGTCCTTTCCAAAACCTATCTTTTCATCTGCATCACAACGATATTGGATTTCTCTCAAAAATGACTGCAATAACTGTGGGCGTTATCGGCGCAACCGGCAACACAGGCCAGACCGTGGTGAATGGTCTACTATCTTCACCAGTGGCTTTCGTACTCTACCTGTACTTTGCCCTTGTTTCCTAAGCTGTGCTAACCCATATTGTATAGACCGTCACATCTTTCACCCGAGAGTCCTCTGTCAATAGCCAGGCAAACCAAAGGCTCAAAACAAAGGGTGTTTGTATTGTCGGCTACGATCTAAGCGGTCCCTGCCAAAAGCTTGTTGAGCAGTTAAAGAATATCGATGTTCTTATCTCTTGTATCACCTGGGAACACCTCGACTTGCAGCTTCCTTGGATCGAAGCAGCAAAGGAGGCAGGGGTGAAACGGTTTGTTCCTTCGGAATGGGTAGGACCATGCCCTAGGGGCGTCCACTGGATCAAAGATCATGTTTGTATTCGTTCTTGAGGTGCTGCTATAGCCGTCTTAATTTAACAAGACTGACAGAAACTTGAAATCCTCGGCGCAATCCAACGGGCTCGCCTACCCTATACTATTATCGATGTCGGCTGCTGGTATTCCGTTTTTGTTCCTAAGGTCCCGTCCGGCAGGTCAGATAAGGCCCACATGCGCTATATTGATCATCGGATTGTGGAGGATGGAAATCAGAAATTTGCCATGACTGATATAGCGGATATTGGCAAGTACGTTGCGCAGATTGTGGCGGATCCTAGGACTATCAACAAGCACGTGTTTGCATACACCGAGGTGCTTAGTATGAATGGAATCTGGGATACTATGGCCAGAGTCACGGGCGAAGAACCGGAGAAGAACTACGTATGTTGCCAATGAAAATTGTTAACGAAGCAACATATCACTTTATATCGCATGATGGACTAATTCTCTTGTTTCTCTAGGTGTCTGTGGCGGAAATATACGAGATCATCAAAGCTTGCCGAAAGAGACTGGAGGAAAGTCCTCATAAAATGATGCATCCAGATAATATTATGGATTGTGCCAATTATAACATGGGGGAGTATCGCATCTCTTGGTGTGTACGAGGAGATAACACACCCGAGTATGCAGAATACCTCGGGTATCTGGATTTCTGGAAGCTATTTCCAAATTTTCAGAAGGGCACCAGTCTCGAGTCGTTCTTTCAGAGTGTTGTCAGTAGGGAGACCGGCTCAACCATATACGACCCCAACCAGTAATTTATCCGGAACTATTATCCTATCGATTGATATTTCTAAGGATAGTTCAATAATATAAATTTAGTCAGGACAGCATCACATAAAATACATCTTGAGATACCTAGTACAATATAAAGTGTAAAGGACTGTGAGAAATTGCTACTTACATTTACCACAGGCCATAACTATCAACAAGGTGAACTATTGAACCCCGGGGCATAGCAGACAACCCTTGAGGATGTTTGGATGTTTAATGAAAGGCTAAGAGACTAATAGGATACATAGGATACAGTACTTACAATTCAATGTATCGTAGCAAAATTAGTTATCTGGGTGTAGTAAAATCTTACAGTAGAAGCAGTTGGTAACGTCCACCTTGAATATTTAATCAGAGCAGAAATTATGGAAAGTTCGTACTACTTTCCTTCGCGTCTTGGCCTCTGCAAAAGCGTCAGGCGTCATATGACCACCGAAGGAGCTGACCGCCTTATTTATTGTGGAAGATCTTCTACACAAGGCTGTATACGAAGGCAAGGCTACGAGGATTCCCACCCATGCGTGCAGTCATACGAAGAGACCATCATGTCAGAACGATTTGAATATGACCTTTTGCCAGAGCCAACCTGCATCCGCTTGGTATCCTTTGTCCCTCAGGATGATGCTACCTGTCCTCCCCTGACCAAAGGTGAGCCGCTGCTCCAGCTATCGCTGTGCACGGTGGATCTGCGGGATGCCCCGCACTATGAGGCACTGTCGTATACCTGGGGATCGCCATTCCCTCCAGAGGACCCAAGATCAAGAGCGTACGAGGATGAGAATAATCAACAGCCAGTGATAGTCAACGGTCGTGAATATGAGATTGGACGGAACCTCTGGGAGTTCTTGCATCAACAGCAGCAGATCAACGCGATTATCAGGAAAGAGGCCGCCGAAACTCTTGCGGCTGGGTTAGACGCACATGGACGGACCCCATTAATGCGCGCTGTCATAGATAGAAGGATCGATCTGGCAGAGGCTTTGCTCGCCCTTGGTGCCAAGACAGAGGCACAAGATAAACAGGGAAAGACGGCACTCCATTACGCACTTTCAAGGGACACCCGGAATTTGGACCTCGCAGAGCTACTGGTCTATCATGGCGCGGACATCCATGCGCGGACACAAGAAGGGGAAACGCCGTTGGACAACGTCGAGGGTGAGGTGGTTGCGTTGATCACGTCCATCGGCAAAGACCTTGGCGGAAAAGCCCTACCGAGAGGTCTGCGACTCTCAGCACAGAGGCCGATGTGGGTTGATGCTATTTCGATCAATCAGAAAGATACGGCTGAGCGCAATAAGCAGGTCGCTATGATGTCGGATATATATAGCAAGGCCATGCCTGTTGTTGTGTGGCTCGGTATGGAAGACGAGCACAGCCCTCCTGCACTGAAGGTCCTCCTTAATGATAATTTCATCCCCTGGGTAATGTTGACTGAGACGAGATATTTGGAGCCCACAGAGTTGAGTGTAGAAAACTCCATGGAAAAACGCTACAGTCCTCAGCATATACGCAATGCACTGGCTGTGGAGAAGCTTATGGCGAGGACTTGGTGGTCCCGAGCCTGGGTCATCCAGGAGCTGACGCTGGCGAAGCGTGCTGTGATCGTTTGTGGCTCAGTCACAATTGACCCGATGCCCACAAGTATTATATTAGGCGTGCTATGCTGTATTCCTTCTGTGGGGAAGCAAATGCAAGTTAGCCATCCGATTGTAAACGGTACTGCTCTCTTTGAGAGTGCACGTTTCGCAGGGGTGCACGGCATCGAAGCGCTCATGCTTGCTGATATCAGCTTTAGAGCCTCTAAATACGCAAGAGAGCGGGAGTTCGTCTTGAAGAATGCTTTAGCACTAAACAAGGGGGCTCCGAATGGTTCCTGGGGGCGAAGTCTAAGCCTCCAAAACCTAGGAAGGTTAAGTTGGTGGTCCCAGTCCCGCGATCCGAGAGACAAGGTCTTCGCGCTAGTAGGGATTGCTTGCCCAGATCCACAGGACCAGGGGATTATTGTAGATTACACGATACCTATTGACAAGCTTTTTGTTCAATATGGTCACTTATTCATTCAAGGCTCACCCGAGGAAATCCAGGATCTACACACTACCGAATGCTATGCTTTCGAGCCCCTGGAGGGGCTATCCTATGTTCAGGACACGCCAAATCCTCACCCTGAATTCCAGGATTACAAAGCCAAACTTCCGTCCTGGACCCCAAACTTCAGCGCGCATCTCACAACCTGCCGCATCTGGTCCCGGGAATTTAGAGCAGCCTCATACATACCTAACAGCCCAGCAATTATTTCCCACCCAGACCCCAGAATTTTGTGTGTGAGTGGGCATATAGTGGACAGTGTTATAGCAATAGAGCCGGCCAAAAGCAAGGGTGATGTACAGGTGTCCGAGGTACTGGCCTGGCTGGAATTCATACAGAGTTTGAATCCCAGATACTCGGAAGAAGACAGCCACGTGGATGCCCTGCGGCAAACATTAACCGCTGGTAAACAAGGCCAGGATAAAAAGGTTGCGCGTAAGGCCTTCCGAGACTTTATCACAGGGAAACTATGTCAGAGTGAGACGGATCCTCAATTGGAATCGATAATCGCGAAACTGCGCAAGTCTAGCCCACGGGACACTATGCCCTCGGTTAAGGAGCTCCATAAAAGAAAGAAGGAGCTCAAGAAACATAAGCAGGGTCTCCTGAGGTGTGTGTCGGAGCACATACAGATGGTGGAGGCACTCCGGAGAGACATACAGGTACCCCTGATTATAGCGCAGGGACACGAAGAACTAAAGCAGAGGCTCCTGAAATTAGAGCAGGGGCTCAAGGAACAAAAGCAAGGGCTTCTGAAAGTAAGCCAGAAGCTCCTGAATCAAGAATGTAAACTCCCGGAACAAACGCAGATGTCCCAGAAATTACTGCATAGGTTCTGTGAACTGCTGGGGCTCCTGGAGCCAGGGCAGGGACAAGTAGCACCAGGACAAGCGGACTTGAAACAAATACGGGAGATGCGGAAACGAGTGCAGAAGGACCTGCAACTTAGGCCTATTAACTATGGTCAGCTAGGGGAGTTTGACATTCTTTTGAGGCGCTACAACAGGTCTAGGTGCCTGTTCCTGACCAAAGAAGGCTATATAGGTCTCGGGCCTCTGGGTGTACAACCCGGAGATGAAGTCTGGCTGTTTGCTAATGCACGGACACCTTTTGTCCTCCGTCGACCGTCGGAAGGGTCCCTGAGAAGGGAGCCTCTAGGTTCGAATTCCTCGAAAATGGAATGTGAAAGCCGGACATTCATCGGAGAGACTTACGTTCATGGAATTATGAATAGGGAAGCGATGCGTAATCGTGATTTTCGTCCAGTGTTGCTAGTATAACCGCGCTGGTACTTGTTTCTTAGTAATAATATATTTGCAGCGTTGTGTCTGGTTATATCAAGGAGGCGGAGATGATTGGATGTGCCTGGATTGTTTTTTTTGGTTATATTAAAGTTTCAAGGACTCTAATAGTGTTAATGTTTATATCGCAGCGTCGTATATGTCATTATAGAGAAGTCCATATCTAAGCCACAGCAGGGACTTTTCAGCACAACCACGGGAATGGAAAGAAGACTGTAGTTTCTCAGGCACCAGAAAGGTTGAAGAATGGTAGCACAAACCCCTAATGAATACAGGAGTGGGAAGTAGTATTGGCTGTCTAGTTGTAGATTTCGAACAAATGCCTGTTCAACGTGTTGGCGCACCGACGAATCCGAGGCTCTTGTTCCTTGATATACTGTTCTGTTCTTTCAATGAACCCACCAATTTGCTTAATACTATCCATCTCAGCAAGCTCTTCATTCTCCTCCTCCTTAGCATTTTCTGGCCAATCCTCAATTTCGCGACCAACATTCAGTCGGAAATACTTCATCCGTCTAGACTCTGGGGCGTATGCGTCGATAAGTGTGCGGAAGAGAATGTTGGCCAGCTCGGAGTTTGTGATTGCACTTCCCAGGCCAGTAATGGCACCTTTGACGCTTTCGCCAAAGACTTGGTTCTTGGGGATACCGGTGCCGATGCTTAGAATGCAGTCAATGGGACGGCCGGCACCGAAGACGCTCAGGACTTCATTCCATAGCCTAGATAAGAGGGTTAGAGAATACTCGGTAGAGGAGGCGTATTGTTATAGCGGAGGAGGGGGGTGCTGCTTGGACTCACCATCCAACAGGGTTGTTAGCACCCAGAGCTGCATCGATCAACTTGTGCTTTACCCCATTATCGGTGGCGATCTCCATGGGCGGGAAGAAGGTAGGAGCAGCAGATGTTGCACGAGCAGCCTCCCACGCCTTGACATTGGGAAGAAGAGACTTCTGCTGTGTGTTGACGTAAGAACGCAGGTGGACAGGTCCTTTGCTGTTGGCGGCGTCTTGGCGAACGGCAAGGACGAAACTAGGGCGCCTATCAGCATGGAACCTTTCTTTGTAATAGCGTGAAAGGCTCTTACGCTTTGCACTTGCCGTGTTCATTAAGGAGAGGTGCTTCAGAGTCACCCAATTTCTCTTTCATGACCTCCTTAATAACCGCTTCAATATTCTCGGCATCGAACCTGGAACCCTTCCAGATGAGATGAGACGCGAGTTCTTCCTCCATACAGCAACATTGAAGATTTTGTTCATGAATTTGTTGTATGCCTCGATGCACTCGTCAACGGACATCTCCAGTCGGCCCAACATAATGGCGCACAGACTATTCTCAATGAATTTAGTATAGAGTATTGCTTGTGGATTGGATATGTGGTCTTACCCTCCGGTGCTGGTACCAGCAATCATATCAAACACATCACAAGGCTTCGGGGGTTTGCCCCCAGGGTTGAGACGCTGCATGACATCACGCAGGATGTATAGGGAGGAGAGACCCCGAACACCTCCTCCGTCTGATACATATCAGTATAAGATCCCGAACATAATTTTTGTAAAGAATAGATCTTACCCAAAGATAGAACGCGCAAAGGTCTCTCGGTACCCGCATCAAATCCATCAGCACGCATGGGGGGAACAGCCGGATCGTACTCAGTTGGCAATTTCTCATTTACTTCCTGCAGTGTATCTTGCAAAAGGCTAAACTCGCCGAATTGAGGTGGCAAGCGCGTGACTATATTCAGTGAGTAATAGGTTCGTATTCCTTCACCTAAATTCATACCTGGTTTATCACCGATTTCAACGGCCAGGTATCCCTTCTCAACAAATATCCACCAACCAGGGAAACGAGCACAGTTACGAACACCAATGAATTGCCCAGGCTAGTCATAAACCATCAGCTAAATCCTGTCAGGTAAGGGTATAGACATACTTGAAGCGAACGTAGTAAATTATGCTCGGTATCGAAAACCGGGCTCTCATTCTAGATAGCCACAATATGTGAGAATGTGAGATTGCAAGACAATGCCCAACTGAATTTCAATAAAGTACTGACCCATTGGTATTCTTCTGTTTCCATTGGGCTAAAATGACTCTTCCAAATAAATTCCACGTTATCTCTGATAAGCGGGTTTTTCGTATGACCATTGCCCAGGAGAACAAGCTCAAACCAGGTCCAAGTACCAGCGTCTCAGTCGCTCACATATCCCTGGTCTCTGGACTTGGCAAAAAGTTGGACGTTTTTGAGACGGTCGATGAACGACTCCGTCAGTACCTGTGCATATTAGCATAATATCGCTAGATATCGATAAGTGGAGAACTATACCGGTAGCTTGAACCAGACCTTGGCCTGTATGTATTGATCATGGGCCGTGACTTCGTCAGAACTTTCACATTTGACGGCATATTTTCCAGGTGCGACGGAAGAGAGGTCTGTTGGGAGGGGAGGCAGAGTTTCCACTTCTCTTGTCCACGTCATGTTTGGTGATAGATGTATATATACAGCCCGAGCACAGAGAAGATGGGATTGAAGTACGTTCCAGGATCACTCTCGCCCTTATATAGATGTTTTATCTATTGCAGCCCCACCATCCTTTTAATTCCACATATGGCTGCCTTCAACTAACAGCTTGACACGTCTGGCAGGATGGACCACCGCGATCACCATCAAAACCAGCCAATCATATTAGCTGAGTGGAGTTCTCGATCTTCAGCTGTTTGCGAAAACATCCTCAGCTGCGATTCAAAAGAAAACCCCTCATTCAGTTCAGCTCCCACATCGAAGTTGATCGTCACTGTGGAGAACAACAAAGCCCTATCGGGCCGTTCCATTCGCTGCCAAAATGTCGGTTGCGTGCTCAGTCCTCCACTGGCAGCGTTACCGCTGTTTAGCTGGCCTAAGTCGTGTCATAGCATTGACGATTGATCTGATGACAGATGCTAGTGAACCCCATTGTTGGGGATATGGAGAAGTTTCCCACTCTCACACTACTCGAACCGACTCCACCAAATATCCATGGCTCCTTACTCCAAAGGTTATTTTAAATTGTCCTTAGAATAGAATTTTCAATTCTCTAGTAATTTAAAGTAGCTATATATGTACCTTAAATCCAAGCCTTCTTTGTCGTAAACAAATGATAAGAATTATGGTTCCGCGCTGTCAGAATCAAGACATATACTGCTACTTTAGCTATAGTGTAAATATTTCACTTTTAACAACTGAAATCACTAGTCGTATTTTGCCTTTTACTGATTGGAATTACTTACTTTGTCCCGTGCCTTTAGTGCTATAAGTAGTGCTCAGAAATTACAGGTTCCTAAAGCGTTGTTGAAAACGGGTGAAGTGGCTATATAATACAATATCTTGCCATGTAAGATCGCACTAAACACTACTATATGAAGATCCGGTGGAACTTCACGGAACCCGACACCTGGTCTATGTAGAAGATGCAGGGAGGCCTATCCGTATCTTGTTGTAGGTTAGGTACGTGTCTGAGGCATGAAATTACTAGAATAGGAAAATACACTTTGGGGTCTCCAGGATGAATGCCAAGAATAGACCGGAGCGAATAAGTTGTTCTTTCTTCCGTCCAGAAGATCCACCAGCAGTGCTGAGCTGAGCTGAGCTGAGCATTTCATCCTCCACCAGATCGACATGGGGGCCAAAAGCTGCGCGGAGACTGCGCCAAACGAACACTTCTGGTATTCTCCTGCCCATCATTGGGAAGACAGGGCTGTCTGTATTAAACTTAGTGTCTCGTATATTCATTCTCGCAAGGCGAGCTTGGCTCTACTTCTTTCGACCCCGCTGTTGCCCCACGCAAAGTACCGCGCCTAGATTATGCAGCATGACCGGAGGACTGAACGGGGTCCACGGGGTAGATATGCACGCTTAATCTGTCATGGATGTAGGTCAAGGAAGATTAAATGTGTTCTACCTAGTCTCGGGGGTATGGGCCCTTTGGGTGTTCCCCAGCCACCGGAGACCTCTTGCGAACGGTGTCGCAATCTCAATCTAGAATGTATTATCGAGCGGAACACTCTGGGGCGTCCAGCTGCGAAATCCAGCCAGCGCAAACCCCCACAAAACAAACGATCGGCACCTCTTGAGAAGTTAGAAGAAAAAGAGGATGAAGTCACAACAGCGTTGTCAGATCTGGAGATAAAGGAATATTTATTCTCAGAAGCTACTACGGGAGAAGAGCATATCCACTCAAAAGGTGGCGGCAACCCTCACCCACCGCAACAACCAGGCAAAAGGGCCATTTTCCGATCTATGACCGAATCCAATGCCTTTATGTCTTCCGTATTAGGGAAAGATGCCGCATTTGGATGCGAGATTACTCACGCAACGTCGCGCTGGAGCCAACCTCTTTCGGATCTCATCAGTAATGATATGGCCATCTTACTAGACAGTTAGTGAGTGCACCGATAAGCTTGCATCTTTTCCTTTACTTAATCATGTCAAGCTTAGTTTGGTATCAATTCTATCTTCCAAAAACACCAACTCTGGTGGATCTGAGAAATCGATTATTCTCAGAGGAAGTCTCTTCCACCAACTCTGCCACGACCCTTCTTTTTGCCCTTCTTTGCTTAACATCTTTCGACATTGCCGAAGCCCCTGCTCAGCAATATCCACATGTAAAACAGAGTCTTCAGCGGGCAGTTTCGTCGTACGGACAGGAATTCATCTTTTCACCACCCACGCATCCAGATTCCATTGCTGTCTGTCTCTTCCTAGCCGAATTCAGACCCACTCTCTTGGCCACCTCACAGTTTGTCGCGCACAAGGCAGTCAGCCCCGAGGTGTACGTCCATCTTGCCTGTAGAATTGCAGAAAGACTCAACATACTACCCAGACGACATGCCTCCTTTTTTGATGAGCTCATGAACCCACAGAATCTAGACTTCGAGTGGTGCTTTGCCGGTTCTGTGCAGGAATTGAAGATTCTTTGCCTCGATTGTGGCCTCGATGGCTTCTTGTCGAAGACTCTACCTGCAATGCGGGACATAATTGGCCATATGCAGCCTCATATCGATGCTTATCGACATGTGTTACAATCCCGCGAGTGCTCACCAACAGTGATTTTTCACATTCAATGGAACATGTCATTTTATGTCCTGCTCGAGGGACTGATAAATGCAAAACAATGCTGGGGTACCCCGGAGAGTTTGTTCCTGGTTGTGGAGGAGGTGGAAAGAAAGTGCCAGGAGCAAATCCAAGTCTCTAAATCTTTACTAGTGAACGCTACTGGTCAGGAAAGATGGGAAGATCTATCAGCCGCCCGTTCTCTGCTAGAGATGAAATTCCACTGGGTGTTTGCTGGAATATGTGGTCTAGGCCTACTCTATACCGCAGTACTGAGAACAAGGCTTATCGAAGGAAAGAATGACGGGGATCCGGATATTAACTCAAGGGAATCCCTCCAAATCGTCGACCAAGTCGCCGGGAGCGTGAATAGCCCTCCCGATGCTCCGGGCCAGTATCTATCTGCATTTCTCAGACGCTTCGGACAAGCCTATCCGCAACAACTCGTGCGCGTGCTAGAGACGTTCCTAGAGTGCGCCGAATTGAAGATCGACGGCATTGCGTTCAATGCTCCACTTCAACATGTGGTTTATCCGATCGTTTTTGTGTGCAAAAACCTTGTCGAAAACAACTTCGTGCAAGTACGGGTTTTCGGGCATCTGGCTCGAAATTTCGAGAAACAGCTGGAGCTGTTTTCTAAATGTGCGAGATGTATTGCCAAGATGGCAGCCTCACCGTGGAACTCAACGAAGTCTGCTTTTGCAACTGGCTGCGTCTATGCCGCGAGTAGCAAGATTATCTATGGTTTACACAGTACCCTGGAACGGCTGAGGACAGAGTTATCACAAGGCACAAAGTGCGATGAAGCATTGAATTTGTTCAACATCTCCCTTGATTCAATTGATGTTTCTTCGATCGGTGTGGATTTCGATACGCCCTTCTGGGATTCATCGAACTTATGGCCCCATGTTGGATCGTTCGTTCCTTTTGATCCTTCACTGAATCTATTTGATTGGGCCCCAGGCTTGAGCTCTGACCCTGGGTCTGAGCCAATGAATATTTCTGGGATGTGAAGGGGCATGACGTAGAAGGTTATATTATCAGACAGCATGTGTCATGACTAGTGTTTGAGTTTTTAGTAGATTTTAATAAGATTAAACAAACTTCATTTGTTACCCAGAATCCGTTCAACTAGATTAAGGCTAAATGCGCTGGAATGAACAATTCACACCAGGACTCAGGAGAGCTGCCACAGGCATTAGAAGCATATCGGATAACCTGTAGTTGATAAAGTTTGTAAAATTGACCATCTACCCATAAAATGGCAGCAAAGCGATCCCAGAAAACTGGGTTAGAGAAGATAAGAGGTGGAAGCATGAAGAGTTGCAGCTAAATTTCAGATAGTAGTAACTGCACGGATGTTATTGCTCGCTCGCCGAAACAAATAACGCGATTCATATAGTTAAATCAAAACTGGACAATGTTCATAATGCATCAATAAAGTCTATAACGCGAGCAATTCCCAGCGAATACGGAATACAGCTGTAGCTCCTCAAGCCCCCTCGCCACTCTCATGCCTCCTCTCATATCTCGCCATCTCCTCCTGCTCCTGTTCCTTCGCATGAGTCTTCTGCACAGCTCGCGCACTATGAATCATATCATAAGCCGCCTTGACATCCTGAAACAGCGCCAGCGGATTTAAATAAACAGCCCAGGCATACAATCCCCAGCGACCACCTTGGTACCGTTTCTGGAAGCCGCTCATCAAGGTCTCCTCGTCGGCATCGGACTCGACGGTCTGGTATTCTCGGGGTCGGAGGGTGCGCGGTGAGATTTTGATCTCGTAGGGTTCCGTGCGGTAGGCGTAGAGGACAAGGAAACAGAGTGGGACCATCTGCACGCAGATTACCATTGTTGGGAGGCCCATCAGTACGTCGATGTAGGTCATTGAGGCGGACGGCTTGAGAATATTTGTTCCTGTAAGGATGAGGAAAAGGATCTAGAGGTTGGTGGTAAGTATTCCTTCTTCGCGCTGTATCTTGAGGTAGATGCTTACCTTCTCCAGGAGAATTACTCCGATGATCAGCTTGAATGCCATCAGCTTAAGTAGTGGTCTGTGCTGTGTCATGTATCCCTTCATTTTCATGTAGAATTGGAGGATGGCGTTGATGGCTACTGATGTCGATAGCGAGGTGATTACTTGGAGCTAATGATTCTATTAGCTACAACTCAAGGATGCCCATATGACAAGATGGTACATACCCAAACATGAGCGAAATGAGGCTCTGTACTGTCGAGGCAGTAAACGTGTAGTGACTGGGTCACCACTTGGGAGACAGCGGTAATCCAGGTAATGACTGGATATTGAAGCACGGAGTACCAAGTCAACTAAAACCAGACGATGGGTCAGTAATTCTGTTAGTTCTTTCTCTGCAGTCGAATGACTGACCTCCAAGAACGCAAGACCGTTCCTTTTCTTCTTCGGCTGCCACTGTCTGTTCGTCTCAAGTGAAGAAAAGAATTTCACTTTACTTTCATCATCGGGAGCCATGAAGTCACAGAGTAGCATGAGGAAGGCGTATAGAGCCACACCCTGGAGCACCTCTGTGAACCCTTGTAGGTAGATATAAGAGTTTGGAAAACATATTGAGATGAAGGATAGGATTTGGTAAGAGGGGATGAGGTTGCAGATTCGCATTATCCTATGAGCAGTTCTGTTAGCATCGTAGAAACTTTCCCACGTTGTCGGGGATCTTTACTTCAGTTGTTCTTTAGGGTTGCTCATCCGCATCGCATGTCGCCCCATCAGGCCAAAGATCAAAATTAATACTATCACAGTGCAAACGCCGGATACGATCATGTTAAATTGGTAGAATGTGAGATTCCCCACAAAAGGGTCGCTGCCATCTATTCACTTGTCAGTAATTCCAGTTAATCTGCAAAAGATGTAACAATCTCTCACATTGCTCAAGGTGGTCGGGTATAGCACAGCCATAGCTGCCAGCTCTCGGAATTAGAAGGCCCATATTGTATAGTAACCAAACGCTAGACCGACAACGTTGAATGAATCACTTGTTCAAAAGAAGATGAAATGCAAGGAACAACTGCGAAGTCACTTACCTTATATCTACCAGCACAAAGCTGACATGACGAGGGGGTGCTGCCGATCTGCATTCTCCACTAGGCAAAGGCCAAGCTCAGCCCTGAGGCCTCGCGTTGCTTAGCCCTCAACACTAAATCGCTGTTCATAGGAAGCGCAGTGAGAATGTCGCGCAATGACTTCGCCACGCGCAATTAGGTGCGCAAATAAGCCTTCGATCGGCGTATTACGCAGGGTCAACTCCACACGCTAAGCGCATGGTGGAGCCGATCACTTAATTTGCGCGAAGTTGCGCTGTCGGGCTGGAATTAATTGCGCGGTCCACAATTTGCGCGCAATTTGGAGGCTGAAATCGTTCAGGCAGCCATAGACTTGAGAATAGGCCCACTCGCTATCAATCTTCGACATGGACGACTTAAAGAGGGATAGCCGAGTGCGGAATAGAAGAAAATTTTACGGCATTTGCGTAGAGGCTCAAGGGACAGGAGGGATGACGATTTTCTGATCTCTTGTCCAACGGTGAACTGCTTCAGCTTCAACGAGAAAACGTCAACCAATATGTTCGCTATCGCAACTAGGATGACCTATAAACGCCCTTATATTTAGGACAATAACGAGCGTATTGAGCAGGATTATATTGTAATACTTAAATAGCCACAATTTAATTCAAGAATTCTGACCCTTCTTCATTCGTTCACGACCACTGCATTATTAGTGTCTACCAGAATTATTGATGTAGTTACTTGTTCTATACTTAAAAGCCTCGCGAGATGGGACTAACCCATGGCCAATTTAATTTCCCATATAAATTCTCATTAAACCTCAAAAACGTGAGAATCACCACCTTCTACATCGTAAATGAACACAGTGCAATGGTGTCGCCGAGGACAACCATCAAAGAAGGACAGTCCAAGAAAGACATTGAAAGAAAAACTGTCAACCGTAAATGACTTCTGGTTTGAGAATTCAACAGAATTATTTCGTCTGGCACAGGGGCCCGTAAAGTGTTGGGCCTGTGATCTCCTCCCAGCCCTCATAGCCAACGCAACGGTAGCACCAGAACACCTCATCGGGATCATACTTTTGCTTGACCGATTTTAACCAGTTGTATTGATCTCCATAGAAGTCTTGTTTCCAGTCCGGGTCATACGGATCGGCTTCATTCAAATATGTGCCCAGGCCAGGAGCCGCTGCCTTCATCGCCTCAAGTTTCTTCGATGTGGCGTAGTCCCTGACCTGTCGCACTCCTTGCATCCCGCTATCAGATGGTGGCACATCATAATTCTCTGCGAACATATATGTCTTCCGCCAGCCGGGGTGGACAGCCGTATGCGGCTGGGCTTGTAGGACTTTTCCACCACCGACGAGACAGAACTCCAGCAAGGATGCCACGGCCTGAACCTTAGAGACTCTCTGAGGGAAGATTGCGTGGAACATGGCGGTGAGGTTCTTCTGGTTGTTGACCAGCGACTCCTTATCGAAAAATCGCGATATCATGACAGGACTGGGATTGTTTGATGCTGGTGACTCGTGATTTCCACTGTCGAAGTAATCCTGGAACGTATCATACTTCTCAAAAGTTGAGATAACAGAGAGTTCGGTCCCGTTGAGTGGTCGGAGGAATTCAACCAACTGCGTGTTTATGACCCTCTTTGCCTCTTCAATTTCGGAAGACGAGTTGGAAGAAGAGAAATTTCTTGAGAGCATCTTCACGAAATTATGACTGTAGGCAGATTTCGTTCCAAGCACTCGATTAAGCTGTCCATTTCCAGAGAAGCCCGCGTCCGAGAGGAAGGGGTATTTAGAGAGAACTGACACGGAGGCATTAATTAGAGCGGACATGTTAGTGCTCGATGCCGCGATAGTTAATGAATGCTTCAGAACGGGACGCGTAGGGTATACTTTGATAGTGGCCGACACTACAACACCAAACGTGCCGCCACCGCCGCCGCGGAGGGCTGTGAAGAGTTCTACGTGCTCGCATGCACTAGCGGTGACAACTTCACCCGACGCGAGCACAACCTTGAATTCGAGCACCTGGTCTGCTGCCAATCCGAAGTCATGGCTAGCGGGACCATGTCCACCTCCTTGAAGGTAGCCTCCGACAGCACCGACAGTCTAAAGCCTACGATTAGCAACGTAAGTACATATATCCCAGGGAGTTGGATATTTACCTTGGACGAACCACCAACAGCAATGTGGTTATGTTTGGCCGCAAAGGTGTATACTTCGTTCCAGATATATCCGGCTCCCACAACAATTGCACTCCCGGTCCAGGTTGACTGGCATGAAGAGTTGGACGGCCCATACTTCTCTTGGAACTGAAGCTCAGGCTTAATATGCTTCATCCAGATCGACAGACTGCCGTATCCTTGGGATCTATCAGATCGGCATTGTTAGTTCGTGTCTGTCAAGAATGGAAAGGATCACTTACCGTGCCCTGACATCATGACCAGTGTTCTTAATCACCAGTCGGACATTGTTTTCCTTGGCAAATTTGATACCAGCTGCAACGTCGGCTTCCTTGGTTGCATTGACACTGTAGACGGACGCGCTACCCAAATCACACACTGTGCTTCCAGCTATGGAGGCATTTATCGGGGCGCAGGTGTCAACAACGGGATATGCGAATCCAATGGGAGATGCCTCCCGGAAGAAAGCTTCCTGGTAGACTTTGCTGATGCTCTGACACTGTTTGGAATTCTTGCCAAGCCCATCGTAACAGGATTTGGCAAGAGGTTCGTTGGCGATTAGTTGTCCGTGAACGGCGTTGTTGAGACCCTCCCACTTGGAAGCTGAGGGCCAGCAGTCATCGGTTGGGGTCTGTATGAATTTGACAAATTAGTTTGGCCTCTGATATGCACGTTCAGGCCATACAAGTTGAGGTGACGGAACGTACACATCTGCATTTGGCTAAGACGGACGGCGCTCCAAGAAGGAGCAAAAGTCTCGTAAAATGCATCTTCCTTGTTGACTGAAAAAATGCAGACTCAATCAACGGTCCCCCGCTACCTTCTTATATAGATTTCTGATTCGAGCTCCTTAGGCGACTCCGACCCCCAAGTCGAGTCAGAATTGTTCGTCTTGCGTGCACTCAGCCTCCATGGTCCACCTTATTCTGAATTCCAGAAGAAGGGTCGGCGAATCAGCTGTATCATGCCTTCTTTTGCCGACTTAATTGTAGCCAGGAAAATTTCCGCAAATATTTGCGCGGGCCAAGAAAAGCCTCATAGGCCGTAGTTTGTAATGACCGCCATGTGGTCCGACTTCCCCAACGAGCTCGTTGCCAATCTATGGATAGCTGAACAGCGCTAGCCTCGCCGTCGCCTAGGAGGGTGTAGGCCAGAAGACCTTCCACCCTCCTAGTATTACCGTCTAGAGCGTTGAAAATTTACAACGTTGGTAGCTGCGCGGAATTACGCGCAAATTCTACGTCTTGTGGATGAGCCTCCTTTTGCCTAATACATTTCTCATGCAAAAACGGTGAAAAATTGGGAAGAATTTGCGCGTAATCCCGCTCAGCCCAATATAGCAATGGATTATAACATGTCTAATAAGCAACGATGTTTCCCCTACAGCGTGGTTCTTGCAGGTATAGCCGTGGAATCCTGGCCCTTGTCGTAACGTGTTTAAGAAAGCTTAGGAGGGTGTGAGACGGAATCGTACTAGCTAGCTAGCTACCTCAATATCCAATTAATGTTCGTACAAAGATTGGTATGCCCACAGCTAGTAAATCTGCAAACATCTGCTACCTATATCAAGATTGAACTTTGACCAGGTGGGAAGCAGGATCATTCAGTTACTACTAGAATATTAAGCACAGCGCAACCTGCTTTTGCACCACCGTATTCGCTTTGTATTCCATATGTATTCTCAATTAGAGGTTTAAGTTAGTGCTAAAATCATTTATCCGTTATTTAAGCTCTAGACGTCAATCCTGGAACAATGATTGTCCATAAGATAAGCGGCACGGTCATGCAGCGTTAAGCCTCACCGGATTAGCAAGCCAAGCCGTGGTATTCGGGGTTCTAGGTTTGAGTTGGGTATATCGTGTGCGCCTTGATTATAATCTGTCCGATTTCTTCAAGACATGGGGGTATTTCACTAGCTGGTACCAGCTTGTTGGCTGGGCGGCTGTGGACCATTTGGTTTTTTTTCAACCCTACAGGGGATCTTATTCTTGATTCTCTTAAGAATGAAGAGGACAGTGACAGCAGACAGGGAGAATGAGCCCTTATTGAGATATTAGGTAGCATATTCACTTTATCCTAGATTATACTATATCATATGGTGGGTTGGTCCTTGATTGAATCGTTGTCATCGCTTGTCAGGTGTCTCACTCGCCTACTTGATCTGCAATGGTCAGCACTTATTCCACCCAAGTGGTGTCTCGAATCTCAGGAATACCACTGAACACGCAACGTGATTGGGAGTAGCCGGGGCTGTGGTAGCCCTCTGTACCGAATTTATATAGTATACAAGTGTTATAATGCAGCTCCGCTTCTTAGGCTTAATACATTCAAGGTTGAATGGGTAACGGGTAGTTAGCGCGTATCCTTCTGCGTCAACGGAAAAGCGTCCTTCACATCTCGATAAAAGTCCTCATCTACAAGGACTCTCCACCCTGTCATAGCCATCGCTTTCCCAGCCAGAATAGTCCTCCGATGTGCCTCATCACTCGCGGCGGCGGCGGTAAATTCTCGCGTATGGTTCTTAGCACCATTACTAACCGGAATACCGACAACGGCATGCAGAGCTGGCATAATTTGCGACACATTCCCTTGATCGGTAGACCCAGCCATCAAAGTATCATCAGTCGCCACAACGCGTATTCCCTGATCGTCCATGTACTCTGCGAAACCCTTACAGAGCGGTGGGTTCACTACAAGGTCACCATAGATTTGATCTTCCTCGAGTTCGATTTTGCATCCGGTGGCTAGGGCAGCCGCTTCTAAACACCGGCGCACCCGAGTACCGAGGAGTCGTGTTCTCTCCATTGTACGACTGCGAATGGTGTATATGGTGCGGGTGAGCTCGGGAATGGCATTGGTAATACTGGGTGCTTGTAAAATTGCCCCATGCACTCTTTCGTCGGGGCGAAGCTGCTGCCGCAACATTGAGATATTGTTGTAGGCAGCCACGACGGCATCAAGGGCGTTAATACCCTCCCAGGGATTGACCGCCGCATGGGCACTAACCCCGTGATAGACGGCAGTGATATCGTAGCAAGAGATAGATGGTTGGCCTGCGATACCCAAGATCTTGTGAGAGATGAGTTCTTCTTCCGAGATAGGGTGCCTTGAATATGTCAGCATATTCTAGAAATCAGGAGTGGTCGCGATAGTAGATGCCATACATCATCAGAGATACATCGGCCTTCTCATAGGCACCTGCCCGAATGAGATCGATTTTACCTCCACCTTCTTCTTCAGCGGGAGTTCCCAGCAACTGCGCTTGTCCTGGAAGATTGAACTTCTGAATGGCGAAGGCCAAGGCCAAAAACGCGGTGACACTGGCGGTTGCGATGAGGTTGTGACCGCATGCATGTCCGATTCCAGGTAAGGCATCGTATTCGGCGTTAAAATTGACACAGCGCCCGGTAGGATTACCGGAAAGAGATTCAAATGCTGTCTTCAGGCCGTAGGCATGGCGGGTAGTTGGGATCCCCTGAGATTCGAGGAATTCGCATAGTACATCATGGGCTTGTTGTTCTTTGTAAGCCAATTCTGGGTTTTCGTGAATCTAGGATGATTGTCAAAATTTTCCAAACCCGGGGGTCAGCAACAGGTGATGTAATATATTTATTACCTTGAGATTTAACTCGCGTAAAGACGGTTGCAACCCCGCGATATATTCATCGATCGCCTTCTGGACTACTTGCTTTGTTATTGCCGTCATTGCCATTTTCCTTGCCTAACTTTTGTAAAAAGCTTTGTTTGTCTTCAAGACTTAGGAAGAAGAAATTTTCAAGAAGCTAGTTAATATTACGGTGGCTGGACACTAATTGCATGAGGGACTACCCGGATTACTCGGATAGCATCCAGGTCATGGATTAGGGCTCGGATAGACCCCTGACTACTGTTACATTCTGGATGATAAGCCACTCAGCAGATAAGCTAGAGACTGGTGAGGTGATGTTCGGCTAGCGTATCCACTTATCACTCACTCATTTACGAAGTTCTGGCCAACCCCGCACGCCTGGACTTGCTTATGTTGTCTCGTTAGTATGGTGGGTCCTGGACCGGGCTATCCGAGCAAATCTGAGAAGCTGAAGGGCTCAAATATACTTCTCGCGCGCAAAAGTCTATGATTGGCTGGTATATCATCGCCAACCAAGAAATAACTCTTGCGGGGTTCATGCTAGGGTATAAATAATGCTATTCAGTCGATTGATAAACATGTACATTGATCAAGTTTCCTGATTATACCACAATAAACCATGACTATCCCCGACTGGCAACAGAAAGCTGCGGCTAAACAGGCCGAAGCCGCCGCCAAAATCCCCAAAGAATGGCGAGTACCTGCAAGCATCCTGCAGGATGTCGATGACGAGCAAGGAGTACTTGCTATCCCTCAACGCTGCGGTATCCTCACTCCCAAAGAGCTGGAGATCACAGAAACCGTTGATGCTACTGCCCTACGGGACAAGCTTGCTGCCCTAGAGCTCACAGCCATGGAGGTTACTACTGCGTTTTGCAAGCGCGCCGCCATTGCCCAACAGATTACTTCCTGCTTGACGGAGACCATGTTTCCACAAGCACTGGCACGGGCTAAAGAGCTGGATGAGTACCTCCAGACGACCGGGAAACCGATGGGTCCACTGCACGGCCTGCCAATCAGTCTGAAGGAAACATTCAATGTCCAAGGCGTGCACTCCTCTCTTGGCCTGGTCTCGTTCCTCGACCGACCCGAGGCCTCCCAGAACTCCGCCTTGGTGGAGATCCTTCTAGCTGCGGGCGCTGTACTATACGTCAAGACCAACGTTCCCCAGACGATGATGACGGCCGATTCTGAAAACAACGTGTTTGGTCGTGTTCTGAACCCACACCGCCGCAACCTGACCGCAGGCGGTAGCAGTGGTGGAGAAGGAGCGCTCATAGCCTTGCGTGGGTCTCTTCTAGGCATTGGCACCGATATCGCAGGCTCCATCCGGATCCCAGCATTGTGCTGCGGTACGTTTGGTTTCAAGCCTAGTGTTGGTCGTGTACCGTACGCAGGCCAGAGCAGCGCGGCCCGTCCAGGAATGACGGGCATAGCACCAGTGGCGGGACCATTATGTCACTCAGCTCGTGACGCGGAGCTTCTGCTGCGAGTGGTCATGGAGGCGCCTGTTGATGACCTCGACGACAATGTTCTTGGCTTTCCTTGGATAGAACCGGCTCCCCCAGCTGCTCCCACCCTTACTATCGGAGTTCTCCCTGAAGACCCGCAGGTTCCCTTGCATCCGAATATGCGACGCACATTGAAAACAGCGGTCGAAAAGCTTGCAGCAGCAGGCCATCGTATTGTGGACCTCTCGGGTCAGATCCAGTGTATCAACGAAGCGTCAGATATATCATTCCGGTTCTTCCGAATCGATCCCGACCAAACACAGGTAAAACACGTCTCAAGAAGTGGAGAACCTTTCATCAAGTCCCTGCGTTACACGTACAATCTGGAAGGTAACGATCCAGAATCGACACTGCGAGATTTGTTCGATCTGAATGTGGCACGAGCCAACGTGGCGGCGATCATGCGCCGTGTGTATGTGGAGAACCGACTCGACGTGATCATCGGCCCAGGAAACCAGAGCTGCGCGGGGCCCCATGATACTTATGGAATTCCGGTTTATACTGTCTTGGCAAACCTAGTTGATGTGAGTATTTGTTATTCCTTGTTGGTGGAGTTCCGAGCTAACCGTATCAAAATAGTATCCCGCCTGTGTTATTCCTTTCGGAAAGGCTAATGAGGCCGCTGATGCGG